TCTCTACTGCCAATACTGGTATGGCCATTGCCAACACTCATAAGACTCAAAAGGGAAAGCGTGACCTTGAGGAACTCGATGAGCGAGATATCGAGGAAGAGGTTGAGCTTGCTCTCCGCGACCTTGAGCTTTATGAGCGAGGCTTGTTGAAGAAGGTCCTCACCCCTATTGTCAAGGCCACGAAGGCTGTCACCAACAACAAAGGGAAGACGTTCGACCGTGTTCTCTCTACTGCCAATACTGGTATGGCCATTGCCAACACTCATAAGACTCAAAAGGGAAAGCGTGACCTTGAGGAACTCGACCAGCGAGACATTGAGGAGGAGATCGTCCTTGCTCTCCGAGATCTAGATCTAGACCTGGATGAACGATCAATCCTCAATATTGCCAAGAAGGTTGGTGGGGGGATTGTCAAGGGTGTTAAGGCTGTTGGCAATGTTATTAAGAAGAACCCCGGCAAGGCCTTTGATCGCACTCTCTCCTCAGCCAATACTGCCATGACTGTTGCCAACACCAACAAGGCGCTCAAGGGAAAGCGTGATCTCGACGAGATTGAAGAGCGTGATCTTCAGGAGGTTATTGAGCGTGATATTGAGGAAGAGATCACTCTTGCTCTCCGAGATCTAGGCCTCGATGAACGATCAATCTTGGGTGCTGCTAAGAAGGCTGTCAAGGCTGTTGGCAGTGCTATCTCGAAGAACAAAGGCAAGACATTTGACCGTGTTCTCTCTACTGCCAACACTGGCATGACTGTGGCCAATACTCACAAAGCGGTCTCGGGAAAGCGCGATCTTGAGGATATTGAGGAACGCGACTGGGAAGACATGGAGGAGCGTGATGTCGAGGAGCTTGATGAGCGCGACTTGGAGGATGTCGATGAGCGGGATGTTGAGGAGCTTGATGAGCGTGACTGGGAGGACGTCGAAGAACGTGACATCGATGATCTTGAAGCCCGAGCCATTGGCCAGAGCCTCGGAAAGCTTGCCAAAGGCGTCGTCAAAGGCGTTGGTCATGTCATTAATTCCGTCTCCAAACAACAAGGCCTGGCGTACAACCGTGCTAACGCGGCTGCCAACTCTGCTATGAAAGTCGCTCAGACGAAGAAGAAGCAAGAGAAGCGCGACTTCGAGGAACGTGACTTCGAATACCTTAACAGCCTGAGCCAGCGAGACTTGGAAGACCTGGAACTTGTCGTCCGAGCCTTGTACGGCGACTACCTTGAGGACTACTAGTCCGAAAGTACTAGAAGAAGCCGCAGCAACCATTACTTGAATGTCCAGATATCTTATTAGGCCATTACTTATAATCAACACAGGCTAGACTAATGAATAGAGATGATATTAGTATTACTTATTGAGCTTGAGAAACGTGAATGATACTTCCATCTTAGACTCCCATTAGGTTGGAGAACTACATAGTAGGGGATATTTAGTCGCGCCATTTCCTTACTCTACTGCATAAGACTTCTGTCGGTCGAGTTTGTGAATTTTCCTTCACATCTTATCAAAACCATTCATAATTGGTACCGGATGTTTAAGGGATCATCCATCCCCCGTCCTGCATCTAACACGTGATATAATATCGCCGACTGCAGAAGACGGGGGACAAGCAACTCCACTTTAATATTTTCCCGCAAATTTTCTTACAAACACCCTTGAGATGTTTCTTTGAGAAGTGCTGGCCTGAATCATGGAACCAACACGTCCCAAAAACCGCCTCGGCTTTGAGATTGCCATTCTTTGCGCCCTCACAATTGAAGCAGATGCTGTCGAAGCTCTGTTCGATCAGTACTGGGACGATGATGGTCCGGACTACGAGAAAGCGCCGGGCGATCCGAATGCATACTCAACAGGGTCTATCGGTAAACATAATGTTGTCCTCGCTCGAATGCCCAATATGGGGAAGGTCAGCTCCGCAACGGTGGCTGTACATTGCCGTGTCAGTTTCCCTAACATCAGGCTCGCTCTTGTCGTCGGTATATGTGGTGCGGTACCCTTTATCCCTAAGAGCAATACTAGCATCTACCTTGGAGACGTGATTTTGAGCCGAGGAATTGTTCAATATGACCTTGGCCAACAGCTTCCGGAACAGTTCGTTCGCAAAGATAAAATCTCGGAAGATCTCGGTAGACCTGGCGGAGAAATTCGCTCCTTTCTAGCGAAACTCGAAAGCATCCGTGGTCGAAAGAGATTAAGAACTAAGACTATAAGCTATCTAAATAGTCTTCAGAGCGAACCCGAGTTGTATGCGGGATACCCCGGAGTTCAATATGATAAGTTATTCAAGGCTATGTACCGTCATGTCAGCGATGGTCACAAGTGTGACGAATGCGGATGTAGTGGAGAGCTGGTTGTTCGTGCTCGTCATTCCCAAGATATACCACAGCCCGCAATACATTTCGGCTTGATTGCGTCCGGTGATGCTGTGATGAAGTGTGGTGTGGAGCGCGACGATATATCTACACAAGAGGGTGTTATTGGGTTTGAGATGGAAGGCGCCGGAGTTTGGGACACGTTCCCTTCCATTGTAATCAAGGGTGCCTGTGACTATGCTGATAGTCATAAGACGGATGTCTGGCAAAGATATGCCGCTGCAACAGCAGCAGCGTGCACCAAGGGTTTACTAGAAATCTGGTCACCCTCCAACTTTGCCCCACTTGAAGAAAGCATTTCTCAAGCAAGCCTGACTACAATATGTAAGTAAATGCAAAGGCACTCTTGTGGACATCGAAGCTAATATACTCGTTAGGTACCATACCATACACAAAGAATCCAGATTTCGTGGGGCGTTCTGAAATCTTGGACTGGTTGGCAGGCCAGCTAAGGTTCCCACGAGAAGCACCTAACTCTACACAAACAAGAGCAGCACTCTATGGATTAGGAGGCACTGGGTAGGTTTTTCGGTCAATTAATTGCCACAAAGACTGACATAGAAATAGGAAAACGCAGATTGCGTTAGAATTTGTCCTTAGACTGCAACAGATACACCCAAATGTCTCCATTTTCTGGGTTCATGCCAGTAGCACCCAACGCTTTCGACAAGCCTTTGCATCTATCGCACAGGCATTAGAGATTCCAGGCTTTGACAATCCTAAGCATGATTCGTTGCTCCTGGTCAGAAATTGGCTCATGGAGAAGACTCATGGAGAGTGGATCATGATCATTGATAATGCCGATGATGTAGAGCTATTCTTTGGCCAACCGCCTGAAACCGTATCAGATATAACCGAGCCAGAGAATCTTGCACAATATCTACCAGAATGTCCTCATGGTTCTTTGCTCATCACGACAAGAAATAAGCAAGCAGCTGTTAGGTTAACGAAAGGGCGGGGTTTAATTGAGGTGCCTAGTATGAATGATATTGAGGCAGTGAAGCTGCTTCGTTCAAGCCTCGACGATATAGAGACAACCACTGCTGACCTATCAGCACTATCCGCATATCTCGAATACCTCCCACTGGCATTAGCCCAAGCAGCAGCATATATCAAGGAAACTACGATCACGGTTGAGAAATACCTCAACCTACTAGGTGATGACAGTGAAAAGAAGATGACACACCTCCTCAACAAAGAATTCGAGACAGTCGGGCGAGACTTCCAGACACCGAAGGCAGTAATACGGACATGGATGCTTTCATTCCAACAGATTGAGAGACAGAGCCGACTAGCTAGTGAACTTCTCTCTTTCATGAGTCTTCTAGACCGGCAAGATATCCCAGAAGAGTTCATCTCATATTATAATGAGAATGAGAGTGAAGTTGGCAAAGCGAATGAGATGGAACTTCTAGACGCGATAGGCTTGCTCAAAGCCTTCTCTTTTGTGACAGAGAAGACTGAAGGAGGCTTCAATATGCACCGTCTCATACAAATAGCGACCCGCAAATGGCTTGTCAGTAGGGATATAATCAACCGATTCAGAAGCAAGGCGCTCAGAACGGTGGCGAAGATATACCCATCTGGAGATTTTGAGAAAACTCGAAATATATGCATCAGGTATCTTTCACATGCGAACATGGTATTGGAGGGGAGCCAGCCAATGTTGTATGATGAGGTTGAAAGAAGGATGCAGATACTCAATTCCATTATAGGATTCTACGGATTTGAGCGTTTGTGGGATGACGCAGAGAAAGCTTCTACATGTGCGGTAAATCTATCCCAGGAGATACATGGAGCTGATCATCCAACAACACTTAAGAGCATGTCAATCCTGGTGGAAATATATAATGGGCAAGAGCGGTGGCAAGAAGCAGAGAGCCTTGGAATACAGGTAGCAGAGGGCCAAAAAAAGAAATTAGGAGTCGACCATCTGGAAACGCTGAGCAGTATAAGAAATCTTGCAGAAGCAATATCATCTAATGGTCGACCGGATGAGGCAGAAAAACTCATGGCACAAGTGATAGACGCTCAGAAGGTAAAACTGGGGCCAGATCACCCAGACACACTAAATAGCATGGCGGTTCTTGGGGGATTGTATGCTGAACACAAGCGGTGGGAGGAGGCAGAGAAGATATTAACGCAGATATTAACGAGCCGAAATTCCCGAGTCGGGGTTGACCATGTTGAGACATTGGAAACCATGGGTATTCTTGCAGCAATTCTTGGAGCAACTGGACGGAACGAGGAAGCTGACCGCTTGATGAAACAAGCAATTGGAGCTTATAGGACAAAAATGGGAGCCGACCATCTAGGTCTACTCGAAATGATGAGCAGTTTTGCAATAATATGTTCCAAAATGGGTCGGATGGAGGAGGCAGAAAGGCTCCTGGGTCAGGTGATAGAGGGCAAAAAGAAGAAATTAGGATCGTGTCACACTGATACCCTACAAAGTATGGACATACTAGCATCCCTCTTTGTTGGCCGTGGGGAATGGGATAAGGCATATGCAGTCCTTCTTGAAGTAGTAGAGGCTCGAGAGATAGGACTGGGAACTGATCATCCAGATACCCTTGACTTTAAAGCAAATCTTGCTTTCAAGCTTTTAGAGGATGGGCGCTTAGACTTGGCAGAGAAGTTGGAGCACCAGGTAATGGAAGCACGAACAAGACTACTTGGGGATGATCATTTAGATACACTAACTTGCAAGTGTAATCTTGCATCAATATATGGGGGGCAGGGACGATGGCAAGAGGCAGAGAAGCTGGATGAGCAAGTATTAGCGATCCGAAAGATCAAATTGGGACCTGACCACCCAGACACTCTTGTGAGTATGGCCAACTTGGCTTACGACTGGAAAGGGCAAGGACGATACCAGGAGGCTTTGGAATTGATGGTAGAGTACGCTGAAGCGCAACATCAGACTGTGGGGCCTACGCATCCCGATACTGTCGCGGCTAGGACTGTTGTAGATACGTGGAAGGCTGAGAAATAGCTTGCTATGTTTCAATAACATTCATCACACTTTAAAGTTTAGCATACATAAATTTATGAAGAGGAATTTGAAACTCGGGGCTTCTTCAGGCTTGATAGAATATAGTACAAGTAAACAGCAAAGGTAATTACCACTTATACTTCATGACTATGTCTACGGCGATCTCGTTTCATGAGTAGGTATATAGACTAAGAACACGAGCGCCAAGTATTAGAGCTTGAGCGAGGGTGAGCTGTGACGAAATTGAGCAATATCCCAGTCCTCCTTGATCATATCAGCAGCTTTCTCACCGATACCAAATGCTGGCATCTGAGTGTGCCCTCCATGAAGAGTGGGCATGATGCTACAATCAGCAACTCGGAGATTTTTTACACCCTTAACACGAAGTCGTTCATCCACCACAGCGTTGGGGTCAGACGCTTTGCCCATAGCACAAGTACCCGCAGCATGATAGCCTAGTGTAGTTTGTCAGTAAAAATATCTCTCAGAGAAATCGAGTACGTACATGTTGTGGCATTTTCCTTGACAAATGGAACCCAGTCCTCTCGTGTGGAGAGTTTATGGTGGGAGGCTCCTGGTGGCCATGATCCTTTGACAATATCCTTGGTTCCTTCACCACTCATAACAATTTCATTGCCGAAACGGCAGGCTTCCGCAAGCACTTCCACATCCAGAGGATCGGTAAGATAACCACAGTCGACGACAGGGACCCCCTTGGCATCTGCGCTCTGCAGAGAGACGCTACCACGCGATCGAGGGGCAAACAGCTCGGCGATGATGCTGAAGGCGTGCTTGTTATCGATGGGGAACTGATCATATTGCTTTGGCCCACCATAACACTCGGTAGTAAAGAACTCAACGTTAGGCTGCGATGGCAGAAGTCCCATAGGGTCACGTCCTTCCAAGCGCGGTGCTGAGTTCCAAAGCTGAGAGTCAGCGAGACGAGAATCAAGGCGGGCAAAAGCAAATGCGCCGAAAGGGAAGCTCGATAAGAATCCTTTCTTCTCCTCTTTCCAGAGCTGATAAGTATGATTGAAAGCATCGCCATGATACACAAGGTGATCATTAGTGAGCCCTGGCCTTTCCGTTTCATAAAAGATAAAAACAATCTAGGAGATCTCTTTGTCAGTTTCAGTTTCATTTACGCGAGTATCAATATAAGCTGAATTTGCTATACCAGATGATCGAGGAGGTTCTTTCCGACTGCAGGCAGGTCGACGAGGGTCTTGATCCCATGTTGCTCAAGTTCAGTACGAGCGCCAATGCCGGACCGGTTAAGGATGTTAGGGCTGCAATATGCACCGCCACTAATAACTACCTCCTTGTTGGCATGTGCTTCAAGAATAGAGCCGTCCTTTAAGACAGCCCTAACCCCAACAGCTTGAAGCACACCATCATCGACAGACTTGATGATGACCTTGTCAACATGAGCATCGGGGATGATTGTGATGTTGGACTTCTGGTTCTTCTTTGTGATAAAGTCAGCGCTAGTTGTACGAATGCCATTAGTAACAGTCCTTGGAACATGGCCACATCCATGAGGGTTCTCGCCGTGAGAAAACATGTCGTGATCTAGCGCAAGACCCTTGGATTCCATAGACTTCAACAGTAGCTCTGAGATTGGGGCAAGGTCATGTGGTTCTGTTCCGAGATGACCGCTGTACCCATGCGATTCTTCAGATGCATTGAACCATGGTTTTCCTTTGAAAGATTCGGCCTAGATAATGTGAGCATAATTATGTCACTGCTGACCACCACGGCTAGGTGGAATGCTTAGTTACCTTTCTCATGTATTTGAAGAATTCCTCCCCTGACCAGCCTGGTAGGTCCCAGTCGTCGTAGTCTTGCTTTGATCCACGTATACAGAGCGTTCCATTGCAGCCCGAAGAGCCGCCAAGGAACTTTCCACGGCTCAAGTTAACTTGCCGATTGTTGATACCGCTACCTGGAACAGTGACGATGTTCCAGTCTGTCTCCTTGTCAAAGTTCCCAGACCACCTTTCAGGGCAATTAGCTGTCTTGATCAATAATAGTTAATCGGTCGAGCTGCGCCTTACCCTCCGACCATGGACACATTCTCTAAATCCTCGCTAAGTGGACCGGCCTCGAGGACCAGCACATTCACATTGGGATCTTCAGCCAACCGACCGGCAATCACACTGCCCGTGGTGCCGCCGCTGAATCTAGAGTTAGCTCTTCTCGCACCGGAGCCAATGCGCGACTGGAATATACTTACCCACACACAATAAAATCCCAACTTTCTCTTTTTGGGTTCCCGAAATATAGAGCCATGATTGTTGACTTGAAGTTTGATGAACCGTTGCGTTGTTGGGGCGTGCGTGTAGAGATTCAACTCAGGAGAGTTAGGGTTCAGATAGCTCGGGGATAGCCTATTTATCTATTCTGACTCGGTAGTAAGCTGCTCCTTTGTGCCGGTTCTGTTGGACCTTAGTGGAATTGTGCACTTGATGGCAACCTTCAATGTAATATGCAGGTATAGGAAAGGGGAAAGTGGGGTAAGCACTTGTCCACACCCTCCACCAACACAAACCGAAGTTCGTTTGCCCGTGGAGCTTGGGCATGAAACTCTATGCTTATGTCCATGAAAATATGTTTACCTAGGTAGGTAACATCCAAGTACGATGAATTTGGGGCGTGCAAGAAATGGTTCCACGAGGCGGCATACTGCACGATAAGGCAAGCTAGCCAGTTGCGCAGATGCTTCAACAGACAATGATATCCCAGCCATAAAGCAACGTGGTTACTTAGTTGCACAAATCAAGACCCTTTCAAGGATTTGAATACCCGAGTCAATCTCACCTCTGCAGAGCAATGGGTACGCATAAATCCCAGACCTCGCGATCCTAGCTTGATGCGCGATCCTGGATCGACGAGCGACTAGTGATGCATGTGTTGGTGCCAACAAGACCGGCGCGTCTCGATCGACATAAGCGTAGACGCATCCGTAAGGCCAAGACTGGACCAGTACCACATTCAGTCAGAAATAATTCCGATTCCGATATTGGGAGCAACTAGTATAGGTGGCTTCTTGCCATCTGGGCCTATCGCCATTGCCTTGGGAATGTGAAGATCAGGTTCGACTAGGTCAACACTCAGACGTTAGCCGGGTACAAGTTCAAGACCGTCGTGCTGGCGACCGTCGGAGAAGCGGCCTATCGCCCCCATGCGTCATACTAGTGAGGTACGTCAATCTAAGAGAGGTTAGCAAGCATAAATGCCCAAGGCTGAACACTGAGCTCAATTCCCGCCTTGCCCCCTCGTTTGTAGTCGTTGGACCTCCAAGTCCATGCTTCTCATTTGCTTACTGAGTTGGTGATCCTGGCGGCGCAGACCAAACATCCATGCGCAGTGCGACGTGGACTCAAGCGACTTATCACTCAGTTTGACCTTAACTGCATGTGTGGGCTGGACTATAACTACCCTTCATTAAACACAATGATGCGTAATTTGTATAGGAGAGGGCTTCACTGCGAAGAACTACGATTAATGGAAATAAAATACTCGGTTTAGGTTAAAATGGAAACGGAAATCTAGAATATCCGCAAACCGATTCCGAATGCATATGAGATTTCGCATCATGGGCCGTTATAGTGCCGAGCATCCCAGTATGGACGACATGTGACTCTTGTTTAGCGCGCCCATTACTAAAATATCAAAGAAGTTAGAATTCTAACCTCTGAAGAGTAGGGCAATAACCATAGAGGAGTTGGTGTGTTAATGATTCGAGTCTCTTCCATAAGACGCGGGTAAAAGCCCTAACGAATAATCTAGTTGGGCTCACCAGGATTTAAGATTCTCTCTTAAGGAAGATTCCATGCTCTGCTTTAAATCCAACAATCCGTGCGTGTGTCGCCCGAAACAACTTCGAAGCTATTATCTCGAAAGACTCAAAATCTTTGCTCCTAGAATAGGATATACTTAGGAATCATGCGACAAAATCTTATGGATCAATGGCTTGGACTCTTCAAAGACGGAAAATGGTCGGGTTTATCAATTGACAAAATTGTATATGCTCATGTCTATCTGTGTGTTGGTGTACTCGACGATCGAAAGAACTATTAGGGTTCTTGCATGAAACTAACCGATCCCTCCGCCAACTCGTTAGCGGACTTGATAGACTTGCGGACTGCTTCATCTACGAACCCTAAACCCGCCTCCTCTCCCAAATGTCGTGACCACGGTGATCCTGATGTTGTGCTCATCATATATCTCGATAAGGCTTACCAACCACTTGAAGGACAAGGAGACGGCCATAACTTGCTTGGAGACACTGTCCGGCAGCAAGGGAAACGCATTGATGTGATCCAAACTTGAACCCTTCTCTCTTGTGATGCGCTGGAAACCAAAGGATGCAACGAAAAGAATTCGAGACGGCATTATTCAGTTTCAGTAGCTAATACATAAATGGATAACGTGATCTGAAATCGGCTACTTGGGATTAATTGCCGACATCTTTGGTGGCGACGATGAAAGTAGGGCCCGCTCAAGCTTCTGCTCAAACTCTGTATCTTCACCATCTCGGCCAACTGCACAATGCCGCCATCCTCCAGCCGCGGCGAGAAAGTACGCCCCTCGTCTCCGATATTGCCACAAAAGAAGACAGTCACGTAAGGTCAATCACATGGATATGGATAAAATGGATCAATGATTATTTGTTCAGTTGTCGACCCTGCAACGCACGAAAGATTCGCAGTTCCGGAGCTAAACCATGCGACAACTGCACTCGGGCATCGGACTGCATCTACCCATCGCGAAATCGGCAGGTCAGAATACATCAAGGGTAGGCAAAAAGAAGTGTAGACTTGTTATCTTTGTGCGCGACCGTCAAACCTATGCCATCTGTGTTGACACGGGATTCAGTTTCCTCGACCGCATCCTGAAGGAGAACGCAGATCTACGTTCACTACAGAATCGCACCGACCAGTCACAGAATAGGACTAGAGATGGTTCATGGAGCCCTCTAACAAGGTCGCAAGACGTAAATGATTCTGCTGAGGACCATCCAATCCTGGAAAAGAGTGACTGGTTTGCTAATATCATTAAGACATCCGACACCCCAATCTGGATAGGTGAGATATCAGATGCTGCTATTGTGACACGCTTCCGCCAGTTTGCTTCCACCTTCCAGGTGCCGAGCCATATTCCTCGTACTCAATTTGCTTCTGATGATATCCTATGTGGTCGCGCAACGACTTGTTCTGGCTGGCCGCCGCTCTCGCCCGCGAGGCTCCTGGCCGAAACGTCACTCCGATTCTTGCAGCACAGTTATCACATTGTGCACCGCAGTGAAGTCTTTCAGCTTCTACGGATAGCAGGTCTTGACCAATCCAATTCGAGCGCGAACTACGGTCAACTAAGTGTCTTACCGCGGCTGGCCATTATCCTGGATTGGCTTCCTTTGTTGTTGCGAGTGATGCCATTCGCATGACCAACGAGAGGCCGCAAGTTGAGGTCATTGAAACGGTTCTCCTTTTAGTGAATCGACACTCTTGATGCTTAATTCGAGTTGATCCTCGTTGTGCTTAAATCGACTTATTTTTCGTTGACACAGAGGGTATAGGCTATATATTCGCTTGAAACTAACCGTCGGCACACTGCAGGCACTGTTGTTGGATCTGTCTTTTATTGACGACTGGATTTATGAAGACGCACTTGAAAAGTTATCTTGGTAGGAGTAAATAGCAGTTGGTTCATATCAATGTTTGGGAGCTACAAGCCAACGCCTCTATGCCCTGCGCTGCAAAGTGTGATAGCCAAGCTTTTCCCTCGCCTCGGCGATCGTAGAGCCTCCATGTATAAGTGCCAAGATACTTTGTTCGCTCTTCTCAATGCTATTTGTGAGTGCAGCCACCTCGCGGGCTCGGTCACGCGGCACAATTACAACGCCATTGGCATCGGCCACCACAATATCGCGAGGACTCACTCGCACGTTTCCGACACCGACTGCCTCATTGATCCCTCCCACTTGCACTCGGTCTTTGCCTGTCCTCATCCAATTCCCCGCCGTAAAGATAGGATAGTCATCCTTGATGATTGAATCAACGTCACGACATGCCCCATCGATAACGGTACCGGCAACGCCTCGTATACCGGCGTACCGAGTCATAATGTCACCCCAGACGGTACAGTCTTTACGACCACCGTTGTCAATCACGACGATATCACCGACAGCCACATCGTCAATGAAATCACCAACACTACCGGGTGGGCTGCTGGCCGGCACATAGCGCACCGTGAATGCTGGACCAACTATCGTTCTTTTATAGTTCGTCAGTGGCAGGATGTTCAAAGCCTGTCCAGAAATGCCAAGCTTATCAAGGGCATCCGAAACTGCGGGCGTATCAGTGTCGGCGAACAGGTTAACTAGCTCTAGATCTTCCGGGGCGGCCTTTCGGGGGTTGCCTCTGGCCTCGGCTTCGGAAGAGTTGGACGAGGATGCAATGGCCTCGAATTGTTTGTCGTGCATGATCTCTGCTACTGAGAAGCCCGCCCGAACCTGCTTGACCATGGCATTCTGGCGGCGGTCGATGCGCTCGCCAAGATCCAGAACTTCGTCGATACGACCAGCAGGCACGAAAACTGTACCACACTCATCGGCGATGACAAAATCGTCCTGGTCTACTGCGACGCCACGCATTTCCACACGCGTTCCGGACTCCAACTGGATCATCCTGTTGCGTGCACTAATCATTGTGATGCCACGACCAAAAACAGGATAGCCAATATCCCGACTTCCGTTGATATCTCGGCTCCAACCGTCGATGACGGTGCCGCGGATCTTCTTCATTTGGGCAGCATTGGCAATAATGTCACCCCAAGATGAGATACCCTCCACGCCCCCGGCGATGACAAGCACGCGATCATCTGTGGTCGTCGCCTCGATTACAGGAGTGATCAGATGAGTGGTGGGTGTGGTCCCCTCCACCTTGGGACACAATTTCACTGTGCTAGCACGCCCAACAATCTTGGGGCAATTCCAGAGAGGCAGGATGCCGTATGTGGCTCCAGGGAGATTGAGAAAATCAAGGGCGTCTGATACCGTATTTGAGTCCAGGGCTGAAAGCCGGTCTAGGACACTGTCTGCCATGATGGAGGATCTTTAGCGAACCTGAGTAATATTGATATGAGGGAATTTATGTTTGGACGAAAAGATATTATGCATTCGTTTTGTACTTATGTATCCGTATACGACGGCATCTCCATGTGCTTTGGTGAATGAGGGATTGGGCTCGGCCCACGGCGAAAATACTTTTACCGATTTGGGTGGCTTTGTTCGGGTTTCATGCCGACCAAAACCACTTAATAGGCGCGGTAAGAATCCACCTACCTTCACTTTGCGCGTTAGCTGCTACTTCTTGATGTAGATAATGTAAGATTGGGTCCTATGTAACATTCATCAGCAGAATAGCTAGCCGTATACTTTGGTTCACACGGTATACTTCTCTACCGTGATACGCAATGATCTGAAAATATCACTTGAGGATATCACTGTGAATAGCAAGGGTAAGTTTTGTTTTTCTCAGAAAAAAATAAACGGAACGTCGAGTACTTCATATTTTGTCGACGTGCCAGTATAATAATAAATTTCAAATTTGTGTGTATAATTTCATTTGATCAAATAGTTCATGCTTTCGGCTTGTCAGTTGGCTTTCGTAGCGGCCGAAAAGTCACGGGAAAACGCATCTGTTACGAAGGAGATTCTGACAGAAAGTATAACGAGGTAGAAAGGTTGTTGCTTTTCCACAGATAATGAAACCAACTCATTGATTGACACTGCCCAATTTGACAGCTAGGCCCTGATCTCCTCGTATACCTTCAGTATAAAAAGCTGTCATCTCCAACCTCCTTAGCCAGCCTAATAGGTGCCTAGAATATCTTCAAGAGCAGCTACGACGTGGTCTATGTTACGAGTTGTCACTAGATGAATGTATTAGCACCATCGGATTGAGCTGGATTTGAGGACACGCCTTACATCCAGTGACAGAGATTCTTCCTGAAGGAAGTAGATAAATGTGGTGTTTCTCTTTCATCGCCGTGACTTGCTTAGCGGAGAGCCCTGTCATGGAAAACATACCAGTCTATGACTCTGTCAGCAAGTAGCCCACTGTCCCTTCTTTGTCTTCCGCATATGGGGGGGGGTTTCCTACATCCGTTAGGATATGATCCCATGATCCCCGCACCTTTCTGGCCAAAAGGCCATGGTACAAACTCTCGCGCATAGTCTTCATGCGATTGTTCATGGTTTCCAGGTCTTTAAGCCACTGATCGTAAAGCTTCAATTCCCCGAGAATCTGGGAAATAATCCTTGCGCCGTACGAAGGACAAGAAGTTATCTCCGCTCGTGAGAGCTGAGTAAGAACTGGTGTTATCTTGGCAGCTGCTGTCACGTCGAGGGCCGCAATGTGCAGTATTCCTATGCGCTCTCCATATAAACCAAAGATTTTAGAATACGATTGCGCGACGGCAAATTCGAGATCCCCCCTATCGAAAAAGTCATTTATGGCAGAGGCATCCTGGCGAACGTCTCCCGATGCAAGTCCTTGGCTTGTCAAGAGTTAGCTTTTGTGCCATTTCGTGTTAGATGAAGGGTAGACCTACTAGGCCAGGTCAAAAACAGGAATCAATCCAGTGTTCTTGCAAATGGTGGCGAGGGTGTCCCACTGCTCTTTTGAAAGATCGACCCCCGTTGGGTTATGCGCGCAAGCATGAAGCACTATTACATCGCCCTTCTGTGCCTCTTGCAGAACCTCTACTATAGTATCAAAGTCGATGTTCTGGTTTTCGCCGTTGAAATACGGATAAAATCTTTGTTGCACATGGGATCCGGCTAGTTTCCAGATTTCTGTATGGTTGATCCATCCTAGATTAGGAAACCAGACAGTCGTTGGGTTAAGCTTGGTCGAGAGGAACAGCGCGGCAAGATGGTTGGCTCCTGTGCCTGAAACTGTCTGGATCGAGGCTACACGTTTTAGGTCTCGATCTTCTTTCCCAAAAACTAGCTCCTTCGATTGACGAAGCAATTCAGCGTGACCGGCCAGAGGAAGGTGCTCATGGTTGAGCTTGGGATCTGCATAGACTCTCTCTTTGGCCTGGATCCGGGGAATCAGCTGTTCGTTCAAAATTGAGTAGGTAGAGTACTAAATAGTGCATACCTGTATAACTGATGGCAAGATCCACGGTTTCCCATTCTCGTCGCGATAAAATCCAGGACAGAGGTCAACCTTGTTCGGATTAGTGTCGGTCTTATAAGCAGCCAGCAGTGTAAAGGCCGCATCGGGCTTGACAGTCGGCAACTCTGAAAAGGACGACATCTTCTCCTGCGTGTGTTTCTTGCCAGAACGGTTATTTTCTTACTAAAACACTTGGGCCTCCTCTTTCTTTCTCTTTGACCAACAAGAAAAATGTTAAGTCCGTTACGCAATGTCCTCGAAGGGTAGAATGCAGAGGTTTCTCCCTTTCTATAGACAAGATGCGACGAACATGCCCTGATTCGAAATCCCCGGCGAACTTGAAAGATGCCGACCACATCGAAATATCTTTGCACGTCCGGTAACAGTAAGAAACCCCACTTGCGAAAACGGACCAGGCAACATAGGAAATCATAACACCCCTAAAACTCGGCATTCGACATTTGGCCGAGTCGCCTTCTTCGCAATGGCGAACTTGCTACACTTTTAGCTTGGCTTGGCAAAAGTATGCCAACGGGATAATACAAACCAGGGAGCAAGGCCATTTATCCAGATTCCACTGCTTCCTTTTCCCCTATTGCATGTTGGAGCTCACTAATTACTAAGTCGTCATCATCGTTGCAGAATCCATCAATATGGCATACTCATCAGCACTCACAACATATATTCAAAATCCTAAGTTGCGGCTCCTCAACGCGCTGCGCACCAACTCAAGACCCGTAATGACCTTTCTAGGTCTCCCATCTGCACGCACAGCCCAGCTGGTTGCCTCTACTGGCCTCGATGGGATTATCATTGACTGCGAGCACGGGCATATTAGTGATGACGCCATGCACAATTCAATCATGGCCATCTCCTCAGCGGGTGTCTCACCTCTTAGGATGACACACGCCGACCTCATTAAACGTGCCCTGGACGCTGGAGCTCATGGTATTGTCGTTCCCATGATAAACACCGTCGACGACGCGCGAGCAGTTGTTGAGAATGCCAAGTTCCCTCCTCAAGGCTTAAGGGGGCAGGGTTCCCAGTTCCCAGGTTTTGGGCTTGGGGTTGATATCCCGACATATATCAAGACTGCCAACGAGACGCTTTTAACTTGTGTGCAAATTGAGACAAAATTAGGTGTAGAAAATGTTGACGCAATTTGTGCGGTTCCTGGTGTTGGTGAGTTACTTGTACCGCAAACGACTGCGTTGCCTATCTAATAACGATATAGATATGCTATTCATTGGGCCAAATGATCTCGCCCTTTCCGTTTTGGGCTACGTACCAGCCAAAGGCGACGAGCCCGAGTTCGTCCAAGCGATTGATAAAATCGTGTCCGCAGCAAGGAAGCATGGCAAATGGGTTGGCCGTTTATCAAATAACGGCATTGCAGCAAGGAACCACCTAGATGTATTCGATACTGTAGCTATGAGTTATGACGTCCGCGCGATTGTAAATTGGTACACAGATGAGCTCCAGGTGGCACGCTCATCACAACAATGAGAACTTAACTCTTATAGGCGAAAGGATGGTGGTCAGATTCCTGTTGTGCGTGAGCCTTGAACTTTTTTTTTTTTTTTTTTTTTTTTTTTAGCTATCTAAGCATTAGTCTTGCTTATACAGCAAGGTATGAAGTCTTTTAATTTTCACGAAGGGTGAGCAAGCTTTGGCCAATTCTTTGGCACGATTATGGTAGGCCGTCTCCCTCTTGTCGCTGAGAGATACTATGAGACTGACGGCCTCGATCTTGAGCTCGGACAATTGATATTCGCTCAAGCTGCCATCCCCACGCCCGTCTGTTCACACAATACATATATCATCTAAGCGAGCATATATCTATACCAATATTCTTCAGATCTATTTCAGCTCTTCAATTGACCTCCCAACTTGCCAACGTTGCCAATGCTGTACATGGACTCCTTGATGTAGGTGCGCTCCCTCCAAAGATCGATGATTTGTTCGCGCTGACATATTTCCTACCTCCGTGTCGCCGTATGATTGATACCCGCCGATAAGCCGATTATACCAGTTATATCTGCCACCAAATTCGTAGTTACCCCTATCTCAGACACAGCCAACGTTGCTGTCCCAATTATAGAAGTGTTGAGGAATCCCACAACCCAATTTCACTCAATCAGTACGCGCGTAATATGAGAGCAACCACTATAACGCTCTGTACACTAATGATAATGAATTACTTCTTTAGTAGTAGGGAGAACGAACTGGTGGGAATTATACAATTACAACCCATCTAAGGACTCAGTCAAATTGGGAACAGCCACCAGCAGGCACGGTCGTTGTCAACAAAATCTCTGCCTCATTTGATAGTCTTATAGTGCTTTATGTATGTATGACTAGGAGCAATAAGCCTAATAGCTTTCTCGCAATTTCGTCAATCTCGCTCAACACTAGCTCTAATCCACGGCATTATATTTAGAGCCGCGCAGGGAGGGCATTAGATCCCGGCAGCGCTCCTTCTATACTTTCTAACTTCTGCTTTAACCAGGGAATTTCCTCTAGTGAGTACCTATAAGCCCGGAATAGCGCGTTCGACTCTCCTGGGAATATCTTTGCGGTCGCCTCATCATGGTAAGCTGCAAAATGCGGATTGATGTACTCCCAGCAAATGTAGCCGTCTTTGGTGACCTCAAAGAGCCGTCCAAATGCACTCTCGCAGAGTAGAGTATTCCCGTTGGATAGCCTCTGTGCGCTGCCCATGAAGGGTGTAAAAAAGTAGACCATTTGGGATCGATCGCGATACTCCCAGACAATGGTCTTTGTCGCTCGATTCACTTCAATGGCCCGCGTATACATGATGGACTCGCCGCTGCGGAATGCACCATTATCGAAGATGAGGATGTTCCCATTGTCGAGCTCTGTGGCGTTGTGCTGCTGTGCCAGTACATCTGATCCGAGTTTCCACACAATGCCCCCCGTTTGTCTCTCGATGATGACTACCGCCGACACCGATCGCATGGATGCAAGGACATGTTTTCCATCGCGCATGGGGACAACCGAATTTATCAGAGGGTAGTGTTCACGGGTGTAGTGGCTTTGGAGGGGGAATTCCTGTCGTGGTAGTCGCTCTGACACTTTCCATTGCCAGACCAGCTTGCCATTCTCATCAACCTCATTAATCGTGTCTGCGTAGGTGATGCCGTCTATCTCACTGCCCGGAACACCGCCAATCACCTTGGCTGATTCTTCAGGAGACAATGCTTCAAGGCTGGTGTATATAAAGCGGCCATCACCATAATGATACTGGTCATGATGACCGAAAGGGTCTGTGAACTGGCGAACGACTTTGCCGTTTGGGTCCAACTCGCTCATCACTCCCCCGCCGTATTTGTTGAAGAAGGGAAAAGGGTACGGGCCTCCATCCTTGGTGGAGAGCTCAGATGTCCGAAGTGTGTTGACGGCAAGGTTGCCATTGGGCAGGATCCTGGCATGACGGCCAATCCTGCCCGGAAGTTTCCATTTGTGAACCTCTTTCCCATCGATATCAATCAGATGGGCTGTGTCGCTGGTTAGGGGGCAAAAGAGTGTGTAACCTCCAAATGAATGCTGCTTGTCCACCCCTGAGAGTCCGACTCCTCGCCTCTTCAAGGTATTCTGCTCCATCTTCAGCAGTACAAGTTCTCTTGTCTTATACAATGAAGGAAGCAATGGGATTACCGGCAAAACGAAATGCGTAAGAAAGTGTTTCGGTCAAAGCCAAACAAACATCTGCCTTTTCATTTATTTTGCATACTTGTATAGAAAGGTTTGTTATACCAACTTATTGATGCTCCTAAGACCCCTTGGCAATGATACCATCGGCTTGCCGTAGGCTTACCACGGCATACCGAAGGCATGCCGACGGTATGCCGCCGGGCGATAAGGTCGAGAACCTGGCGTATCGCAAAACAGTGGAGTCATATCTCAGAATTGCGCCGTCCAATAGGCTATCAAGAACCGGCACGTCATTATAGTTGCAATGATATCTTTAACACTATTCAGACATGGTCTTATCGCCTCAGCAAGGACATCATCGTTGCACTCAAGACCAAATAGATATAAACCCGGTACAGACAATGCCAAAAGATTACAGTGATATTATAGACAGGGAGTGGCCGTTCTCATTTTGCCCATATGCTCGTCTCGATTGGATTTTTTTGAGCACCTTTTACTACTAATAAAATGGGTCCTTTACCTAAGAAGACCGACCCTAGGGAACTTCATTCATCGGAAAATGGCGACGATATTATTCCAGATGAGGCTATCCACGTCCCCGGTTATGAGTCAAAGCTTGAAATCGCGCACGGCGAGACAAGGAAGGCATTGTTGAAAGTCGACTTATGCATTCTGCCGGTCATTGTGCTTTGCTTCTGCTTTCTCCAATTTGACCGTACCAATATTGGCAATGCCTTGACTGACACTCTGCGAACCGACATCAAGATAAATAATTCAGACATCAACTTGGCACAAACCCTGTTCACGGTGGGTTTCATCGTGACGGAGCTGCCATTCAACATGATTAGCAAGTGGATGGGGCCAGAGAGATTTCTCCCAATCACCATGTTTCTCTGGGGCATTGCGACTTGGTCCCAAGTCTTCATTACGAATGCAGCCGGGCTTTGCGCCGCTCGCTTCTTTATTGGTGCCCTTGAAGGCGGTTATATTCCAGGCTTCGCACTCTACATATCGCGATATTACACGAATCAGGAGTTGGCCTTGCGATATGCTATTTTTTGGGCTTCCAACAGCTTCGCGGGAGCATTGGGCGGACCTTTATCCATTGGCCTCCTGTCACTTCGAGGCCGAGGTGGTCTTGCAGGGTGGCAATGGCTTTTTCTGATCGGTAAGGATCCCTAGGTTCTCTGTCTGTTAAAAATTTCTAATAGAATCTAGAGGGTGTCTTGACTTGTGTTCTCGGAGTCGCCGCATACCTGTACCTCCCTCACAATGCTGCTTTACCAAAGTCGTTCTTTGGCAAATCATTCAACATCTTCGCCGAGCGCGAAGCATCCATCATCGTTACCCGTGTCATCCGAAATGACCCCACCAAGGCCCTCCGATATGGACAACCAGTTCTGCTCTCCCACATTGCAGAGACGCTTGCTGACTGGAGGCTATACGGGCATCTCGTGGCTGGCCTCCTTTCAATGGTTATGATTTCGCCGATGAACACCTATGCACCTTCCATCATCAAATCATTGGGTTTCACCGCGCTTCAAGCCAATGGCCTCAATTCCGTTGGTAGTGTGTGCGCATTGATCTGGTCAGTGATGCTGGCCTTTAGCAGCGACCACTTCCGCGAGCGAGGGTTCCATATTGCATTGGGCTATTCTTGGGGAGCGGCTGGCTTGCTCTGGCTCGCATTGGCGCCCGACAATGTCAGCAAATGGACGCTCTATGGTGGCGTTGTCTGGACACAGATGGGCATGGGATGCGTCCAGGCCATCAGTGCTGCTTGGCTCACTGCCAAGATGCAAGACTACAGGCGACCTGTAGCACTGGCTGCCTATGTGATGAGCATACAGCTTGCCAACTTTCCTGGTAACCAACTATTCCGGGATCAAGGTAAACCTCCAACCCAACTCTGATCCTCAATATTGAGAAGCTAATTTATCAACAGATGCACCTCGATATACTCGCGGGCTGAGCATCGCTGCCGGCTGTGCTCTTGCCGCTGCGGCTGTGATTCTGTTGTGGAAGCTGTTGTATCGTCTGTTCGACAACGGCGATGCTGGTGTTGAGGCCCAGTTTCATGTTGCTCCGGCAGAAGGCAGGGGCTCAACCGGGATGGAGAGCGCCATAGGGGGAAAATCTATCTAGAGCTATAACATTGCTGACATTATGTCGAGGAGTGGCATGCTGGATGCTGATGGTTGGTTTGTAGAGCTAGTTGTGATGGGATGTCGTCAACCTTGTCGTTGTGATAGGCAGACCAAAACCAGGTACAATTGTGACAATGAGTAGGAAGCGATACTATCAAAGCGCTATTCTTTCGATTCATCATTGTTTTTACACGGATGTTTTCCTTTGAATATGGTGTGTTCTGTCCTAACCGCATAGACTATTAGTAGGAGAAGCGCTGTTTCAATTTGTTGCGGTAGCGAATTACGCCAGGTATTGATAAGCATACACCCTATCATCAGTTAAAGGTACTTATTTGGGTTGCTACAGCAAAGATAAGGGAAGTTTTAGTTTGATGAGCAGATTAGACTATGTACTTTCACGTGACTTTTCAGCACGCCATATCGACTGATAAGTCGTGATCAGCTCTATTATGTATGCCATATTGAACAGAACACAAGCTAATCATAGCGAGTGTGTAAGATATGCCTCCTTTGCGGTCCGGAAGAGCCTCAAAGGCATGCGATCTATGTCGCAAACAAAAGACTCGTTGCTATGAGTCTACGAGCTCCAAGGGGTCTTGCCTGCGTTGTGAGACATTATCCCAACGATGCTCATTAGAGTTATCCCAGAGCCTTGCACGTCCCGTTTTGGCCCCTACGCGTCGCCAAAGCCGCAGTTCTGCTATAAACTCTCCAAGCATGGAACAGCCGAGATCCGTGAATGATAGGTAGGGCTCATCACAAATCGGTTCATAGCCGTGCCTTTCTGAGTATGCAATAGTTGACAGCTCACGCAGACTTGAGCGCCTCGAGCGAACAATAGAAGATCTAGTTAATCGACTCGACTCGAAGCTCGATGATCCTAGACATGCTTTGAATCATAGGCGAGATTCAAATAGTGGCGACTCTGAATCTCCTATTCAACTAGATCCAGCACCTGTGTCGCTGCTCCGAAACGCCGCTACACGTACAGATGCGTACTTGCTGCAAGATACGGATAGTCAGTTGGCCTTCCAAACCGACGTAATATCAGCGGGCCTGGTATCAGCGTCTACCGCCCATATACTTCTGGCATTGTAAGAGAGATTCATGATGAATTAGAACTGTTAGCTTACAAGTTTAAGATTCCATCTTCATTATGGCCGCTGGATTAGGTTCCCGGAGAATATTCCAACGGAAGAGCTCCTCCTATTGGTTAGGAAGTCGCCGCTTCTTATCTGCAGCATCTTCCTGATTGCTGTAAGGCATACTACGCAGGAGTTGGCGGACAGACTTGCTCCAAAACTATTACAGGAATCCAAGCGACTTATCACTGCCTCGTTACTCAAGGTACCACAACCGATTGAGTTCTTTCAAGCGGCCCTTATCTTAAGCCTATGGTCTACGACGATTGGTCAAGTGCCTTTGAGTATCGACAGCTGGTTGTTGACGGGCTATGCCATACAACAAGCGCTTGCGAGTCCGCACTTTGCAGAAGTTTTACAATCTGCTCCGCATCAGTATACTACTGGCGCACATATTGACTCGTGGTGCCTGTGGAACCATATATGCGCTGCGCATCTTCAGTAAGATAATACCTCATATCCTCCTAAAGGTTCTGTGCTGATCTTCGTCAGATATTGCGTTGGCACTCGTAGGCAGGCGTTACTGAATCAAGACCAAATCGATCGTTGCCTCAACTTCATTAAATCAAACAGTGTCACAAACTATGAGCAGAGAATGGTGGCCGAAGTCCAGCTTTATTGGATAATTTACAACAGGTGTAGCCTTGCTAAGAACGACCTCGTTGACACGAAACTTGCCCTTGAAGCCTGGCAGAGAGAATGGATGAGACTCTTTAGTAAGCCTTTGTGTTTTAGTGCCTATATTACTGTGATTAACTAGGATTTCTTTAGACGAGCCCCGATCTCAGTTCCTCCAGATGGGTTTCCATTTTGCTCATCTGTTAGCATACTGCCAATCCCTCAAATCCCCCAAGTCAGTTATGCATAGCTCCATCCTCAAAGAGATCGTTCGACACTCGAGAGGGATCATTAATCTCGCTATTGATACAACGGATGAACGTACCCGGCATCTGACCGACCATATCTATCATATTCTCAGCTTCTCAGCACTTACGCTGTGCCGAATCGTGCAAACATACGAGCCAAACCTGCGGGTGGCCAGCTATGAAATAGCTGAACTTGACAATCTCGTGTTTGAGCTTATTAACTGGCTCAAATCAATCGGCCCATCATGCCATGCCGCTCATATTCTCGGCGAGATTGTCTTGACGCAGTTTCGGAAAATTCGACCAAACTTCTTTCCCACGCCATCTATGGTGCCCAACTCGTTGACTGATGATACTGGCGGTATTTTTACAGATGGAGAGCTATCCTTACCCGCTGACCCTTCCCTTATGTACTCTAATTTTGTTGGTTGGGAAATGTTTGACATGGACGCTGAAGAAAGTTTATGGCCTGAATGGGCTCGGAGTGACTCGGATACAGATAGGCCAATGTGAAGATGAAAACCTCGAAAGAAAGCTAGATGGAGAAAATCTGCGTTATGCTACCTTTTATTACTATTGATACTCTATATCTATATGTGAGACAAACAAGATTGGTACTGCTAGTAATAGTACTGTACCAGATTAAGGAAAATAAAAGAGATCTGAAAACATTTCTTATGTAGTTCACATACCCTATTCTATACCACCTCTTTTCTTTTTTCAAATAGTATCTCAAATACCGCAAAACCAGACGCTTTGTACTAGAAAGAGCTGAAAAGACCTCATCTAGTAACTCTTGTCTACCTATAGACTGGTCTTGCTCTCATGAAAGTGCTCATTTCAGGGACTGTTCATTGGTTGAATAGTGTTGAAGTAGCTCGATTCTAGATTTGGATCTTCAATTTTCAGCATCAGCATTCCATTCCCTGATAGATGCTATTGAAGAGCATGTTTGAGGATGCTCTGGACCAAGGATACGTTGCCGACCACGAACACAGCTCTCCATCAAATCCAAAGCGTCTGCATGTCGGCCTAGACGTTTCCAGTCATAAGCTAGACTAGCCATGCTAGTCAGCGTATCAGGATGATCAATACCAAGCTTCGCCTTGCACGCCTCTAGCACCTGCGTATGCAGCTGCTCAGCTTCTTTGAACCGGCCCTGGTATCTGTATGTTGTTGCCAGGTTTGCCATATTGGTCAGTGTGTTGGGATGATCGAACCCGAGCTTTGCCTTATGGGTCTTTATTATTTCCAGAAATAATTCCTCAGCATCATCGCACCGTCCCTGGTTCGCGTAGATCGACGCTAGATTGTTCATACTGGCGAGAGTATCGGGATGATCGGCTCCAAGTGTCATCTTGCGACCATCCACCACTTGTACCTCTAGCTTTTCGGCATCTTTCCAACGGTTCTGCCCCATATATGTTAACGCCAGGTTGTTTAATTCAGTCAGGTGGCCGGGATGACCAATTCCAAGTTTCATACTGCCAGCCTCTACCACCTGCAGCTGCAGCTTCTCAGCATCATCCCATCGGCCCTGACTCACGTATGTCAAAGCCAGGTTGTTCATAATGGTTAGTGTATCGGAATAGTCTGCCCCGAACTTTTTCATTCGACCCTGAGCCTCCATTACCTGCACCTGTAACTTTTCGGCATCCTCCCACCGGCCCCGAATTCTGTATGTCGATGCCAAATTACTCATGGCAGCCAGCGTATCGGGATGATCAATTCCGAGCATATGCTTACGTGTCTCCAATATCTGCACGAAGAGTTCCTCAGCGTCTGTCCACTGTCCCTTGTCTAGAAGCACCGATGCAAATAGGAACACTGCTGACAAGGTAGTTTTATGCTCTTCTCCTAGCAGTCTTTCGTAGGATCTCCTCGTTTTGTGAGCCATTCGCTCTGCCACGACGAGCCTGCCTTGCGAGAGTGCAAACCAAGCTCCACTTGTTAGGAGGGCCGTCCATGTCTCTTCTAACTTCTGTCCCGTGGGCTTGTACTCAATGGCTTTCTCGACATGTGGGAAGAGCTTTCGACACGCCTCCCAGTTCTCGAGATGATCTACATCTGGGAATGACGCTTCTAGTCGTGTGAGATACTTTTCCTTGAACTGCTCTTGAAGGCCCTGGTTTTCTAGCCACTTTCTTGTCGATAGCTGCACGAGTCTGTGCATCTCGAACTCGATTCCATTTTCATTCACCTTGATGAGATGGAAGTCCTTCAACATGGCCACATCATCTTCGAACTCATCATCCAGCAGCCCTTGACTATTTTCGAAATCTGATTCTTCGTCGCCATCTATGATGGTCGCCGAAGCCGCAGGCTTCAGGAGCAATTCCGGTATATTGTGTCGATCAAAAAAGCTCATTAGCGACATCAGCTCTGCAGCAGAACGCCGTCGGGAGTATATGTGCTCGAAAGAAATCTGCCACGTCGTGAGGACGCCATTCGACGCGCTGCCGTCTCGCCGAAGATCTCCCCCATCATACCCCAACAGTCTGAATCGCTTGCGCTCGCTTTCCCGGAAGTCGGCTAAGTATTTCTGAACCGAGCTTCGTGGCGCCCTCGCCTGTATATACCCGGCCGCTTGATTGATGGCCAGCGGAACATAGTCAAGAGCCGATACAAGTTCTGTAGCCGCATCCAAATCCGTGATAACACCTATCTTCTTCTCCAGCAATGACAGCGCTTCAGCTTCTGACATTGTTCCAACCTCAATAATATCAGTATTCCCAGTCAGTCTGCGCGCCAGATCTCTGTTGCGTGTTGTCACAAGTATAGAACCGTTTCGGCTTTGTGGTATATACGATGCTAGCGGTTTGCTTTCTGGGCTAGCCATTGTTCCGAAGAAGACATCGGCGTCATCAGCGCTGTCAAAGATAATGATCCATCTGCCATTCCGTTCCTGTGATAGCCAGATGTATAACAGTTGGAGGATGTCGGCTTTGGGCTCTTCCCGGCCTGGGAGCTTGACGACGTCCGCAATCATCCGGAAGCCCTCTTCGAGTCGTGCCCTTGTGCTAGCATGGACCCAAAACACCCACACCTCGGCCGGTTTTCGATCGATCCGGTAGGCAAACTCAATGGCCAGCTGCGACTTTCCCACTCCCCCCAAGCCTACGAGGGCTGTACGATCAGCCCGTTTGAAACATTGCTCGTCAATCCGCCCAAGAATGTCGCTTCGGTCTACGAAATCGGGATCGCGGTTAAAGGGGATTGTCATCGTCGGCTTCAGTTCCTGCCAGGTGTGGTGTTTCACTTCAGAGAGTTTAGCCAAATACGATAATAAGAGACGATTATATTACCTTTTTCGGTCTTCTTTCTCAGGCGCCGGACTGCATTTGATTTTCCTTCACCATAGATGAGTGGCATGAAAACATCAAAGATGCCTAGAAGACAGTATGCCCAGTCTTCCTCGCGAGTAGTCTGGCGCCCCTCGGCCCATCTAAACCGTTCCTCAACATCGAATTCGGACAGATGAGCGCCTCTAAGAGCCAGAATAGGGATACCTGTTATCTGATGGATCTCTTGTTCGAGAGATGATTTGTCGCCTAACCAATGGCCTTGTTTCGTAAAGAACTCGACTGAAGCCGGGGCCACGAGCTCTTGAAGCGTCCATCCACGAGTAAACCATCGGCTACGTCGCAGAGCTGCTTCCCAAAGCAGACCAGGCTGCGTGCTGCTTGGCGACGTTTCTGGCTTGTCAAAATTTTGCTCCTTATGATGAGACGATTTCAACGAATCATTAGACCCTATATCCAGATTCGGGGTAGTAACATCGGCAAGGAACACATAGCATCGATCCGCGTTTTGATACCAAAACATGGAGTTTATAGCCTCGTGGAGCTCTGTGTAGTTTGACTTGTCGATACAGCATGTATCGATCCAAAAGAACCGCAAGCCATCACGTCTCGCTTGTTCCGCGCAAAACTTGATCTTCGCGTAGCCGGCATTGTTCTCCCCCGTGCAATCAATTAAGTCTCTGTACGTGACCTCTTCCTCATCTGAGCCCCACGTATGGGACAGGGTAGCATATCGAGGTATGTCGCGATTTAAGTCTTTTTGTCAAGAAAACCTTGCCGTTATTGTATTCGAGCAGTCGCATGCTTGGAGCTGGCTACAATATGTCAGTTCGATAGGAGTCGAAGCGGCGATCGTTACAAAGCTTGTGATCAATTAGGGAGTGAGAGGTAGTTGGGAGATATTTGGATAACCTCTGGTCACTGTTTTGATTAATAAATGACTCGAAATCCTGTGGCGCCAGTGACATTCGTAGGCGTTTCGGCGTGGAGATCGAGGCATTGCCGTAATTCAGCCTGAGAGAGGCTCCGTACGTTGGCGCAAACCCACAGGGAATCACATGTGAACGCCGAGGACTATTTGTTTCGCAGCAATGTATATTTCTTGGATAACGAATAATTCTATAAGATAGATTAGAATCATAAGAAACAAGCATTTTTTTTATACAACGATTGCAGTTAATTCCCACTATGTATCTTTTCGGGCTTCTGCCTCTTCCTGCGTCAGGGATATCATGCGTTATCTTATTCCAATATTGTATATGAAACAATCTTAAGACCACACAAACTCGAAGCACTCCGCATTCAGAGCCTCCAGGCCATACCAACGTTGAACATCTGGAACAATAGCCCTTGCCTCCTCCGGTTGAAAGAGAAAGCGCCAACAGTTGAGGCTATAAAACTATACAAAACCAAACTCTTCACAAAATGTCTTCTCAGAACTACTTTCATTTTCCTAGAAATTTTAAATCGTGATCCAACTAGTATGCTAATCCATTACAGAGCACATCAACTTATTCACCTAAGATAGCATGTTCATAGGCCCTCCCCGCATCAAACCAGGAGCGAGATTAATCAGGCTCGCATCTACCTGGGAGAGGGCGACTCTGCACGCACGACGTGAAACTTCTTCATGCAGAAGAAGAGGATGAGTCAAGAGAAAGCCCAGAGGAAGGTTAAGTAGAAGATCCAACGGACCCACTAGATGATTCACCAGTTGTTAAGCAACCCAGCCGAAAGGATGTGGACACCGCGGTCGGCGACGGGAAACACAATTGACAGCTTGCCCTTGTAGTTTATGCCGGTGACTGTGCGGTTGAGGCAGAACCTAATAGACAGCGGTTGCTTTGAATAAGACACTCGGCTTCAGCTCTATCATGAGATTTCCTTTATTAGACATTAAAGTTGTTTGTCAATATAAGAGAGCAATTGCAATATTAAGTTCAATCTTCTCATGACTAGATTTGATTATAGCCTTATATGAAGAACGAATTATCTAATATTTAGGTGATATACTTAAGTGTACTATAAAAACTAATAATGTTTAAGAGGATATTGTACATGGCAAACGAAAGTATTACCCTAGTCCTTCTGCATATAGTATTCGGGGTTACAACATCTTGCTTCCATACTTGATTTAAAATTCAAAACAGTCATTGAGATAATACACAAACCAGTTCCTATTAGATCAATTAGTAGAAAGAGAAGAATATATGTGGTTTCCGGATCTTGATCTCCTACTCTATCTTTGCCTTGTGGTTCTCCTTCCATTCTTCAACCAGACCTGCGAAATCAGCGGGAAGATGCGGAGAGGTGAGTTCGCGGTAGAAGCTCGACTTACGGCGCACCTCCAGACCGAGATCTTTCATCAACATGTTGACATAAGGCAGGCCGTCAAACACAAAATCTGGAAGGTCAGCACCATAACCACACGGGTAGCGCCACTTCCCCCATTGCGTATGCAGCATGATTTCGTCGGTAATCTCTTTTTGGGTTCCCGGATTACGATCTAACATCCCCGAGAGGAAGGCTGCTATCCAATGCCCCTGGATCGCCGCGCAAGTTGCAGTGCTGACAGTGGAGATCATGCCCGCGTAGGCCAGGTCGCGCGACTCAATCATTTGCGAGGGAACCATAAATCGATAGTATCGTAAGGTCTTTGAGTCCTTTGGCTTGAATCGAAGCTGGGGCTGCTCTTTGAGGCCTGGATATAAAGCGAGAATGGTGGCGTCGGCATTCTTATTCAATGAGTCCTTTTCGGCTTCTGAAATAGCGAGGTCCAGCTGCTCCCCGCCTTTGCCAGCGAATTTAATGGATGATTCTTTTTTCCAGCCAGTCGAGCAGATAATGGCATCTGCTTCAAGCTCTTTTCCAGAAGTGAGTACTGCTGAGTGAGGGGCTAACCGCTCTATGTCGTCAATATGTACACGGATCTTGCCTTGTCTAACAAGATCAAAAAGCGACGTGTCATAATTGAGAATGCTCAGGCCACTGCCAATCCAGAACGCCGAATGCCACGGTTTGAGCTTTTGCAGCTCTGGATGGGAGTCATATTTATTGGCAGTGACGACGTCATTGCTCAATACCTTCCAAAACGTATTGACGACGAATCTACCAATAGCGGTTCCATGGAGAAATCGGCGAATGCGAGGATATCCGTCCTCTTCACCCCAAGGGCAGGGGCTGAACCACGTCATCCATCGCACGTTCAGCAATTGATCCAACCTCTTCTTAAATGGAGTCACGAAGGGAGGGGAAATCCACACCGGACCGTTTCCATTCGGGCGGATGATCAAATCGACCTCTGCGCCATCCTGAACGAGCGCGTACGCGACATCATAGGCAGACTTGGCTCCACCAACGACTATCGCATTCTTGATGTTTTGGAGGCGGGACGCCTCTTTGCAAAAATCCTTTGCGTGGAAAAAGGGACCTTCAAAGTCATTTGCGCCCTTGTATTTTGGGAAGTTTGGTGTTGACGTGAGGCCCGTTGCAAGTATCAGCTTCTTGGTTTCGTAAGTTTGGTTTCCGTCTGGAGATGATACGGATAGTCTCCAGCCCCCATTTCCGTTGCGATCGACCAAATTGACGGCTGTGTTAAATTGAATCTGGTCGAAAAAGCCATAGTGTCTCGCAAAATCAGTGAGATAGCGGTGAAGAGTGGCACCAGGGATATGATTATTAGGCTTGACACAATATTTATCCTCCGTCATGGCAAAGTCCGGGAATTCATAGGTCCCTATCATGTTGTTTGATTTCAGGCCAGGGTACAGACGATTCTTCGACCACGTCCCGCCGCACGATTCAGCTGCCTCGAGCACAGCCATTTTTGCCTCTGGATTTATCTGCCTGTAGGCCTTGGCAGCGGCGAGGCCGAACCAGCCTAGAGAGATGTGTTAATAACAATGCCTGTGTTAAGTCTTTCTGAGGAGGATGCAGGTTCTCACCGGCGCCTACAACTACAACGTCATATGATTTTCTTGGAACAGTCATGATAGATGCAGATTGCAGAGGTTTTTTTGCACACAGATTTGCCTGGCTAAACTATTGAGCTTGCACGTACTGCCTACTATAAGAATGGGAGGTGGGATTCTACATTGAGCAGTCACGCCGTTCCGCTATCTTAGCTTTCGATCCGGAAGATACATTATACGACCTTCTTGTTATCTACAGTACTATCGCCACACCCACGCAGGTTTCCGTAAAGTCATATTACTGACATGGAAGTTCCTTTATGTTGGCATTTGCATTTCGGGCGGCCCCTTATCGGAACTTCCGTTCCGACCGGAAGTTCCGTAGTTCGCATGATAGCTGCATGGCTAGTCCCAGATAACAGCAGCCTAAAGCTGGTAGGTTCGGTTAAGCGACAGTCGACACTAAGCCAATGGAGTATAAGCCAAAGATTGCCCTTCATTCGTATCCGTTGTACATACAACTTTCAAGCCCAAGCGTTCACCGACTGTTGCCAATATCTGCGCTGCATTCCCTGATTAAACTAGTAGCTTGATGCCTAGAATTGCATGAACTCAGTATGCTGGTATCACTAAACACTGCATCCCTGCCAACAACCTAGCCTAGAGTAGTTGGCGAGGGCGTAACTATACCGCCACCCTCGAAGGCGCTTCGGAGTTGCGCTAAGATAAGTAAAGCCGAACCGTAAAGTTGGACTTATCAGTACATTCATTCGGCCGATCTACTAGATTGGCGTATTGGCGTGAGATAAGCCAGCTAACAATCTCAATGTTGTAGCATATCTCATGTTTGTGGAACTTGGTCGCGCTAGCTCTCGAACCAATTGGGATTGTCGGGGGGCGTTGTGTGTGCCGATGCAGCCGATGGGCCTAGGCTTAAAAGCCCCGACACTCCTGTACTCGGACATTTAGTGGGCTTTCGGACTTCTGAGAGGAAGCACGACGGTGTGTCCGAATATTTCTATGTCGAGGCCGAATCGTCTCAGTTTGCAACACCCTTTGAGAAAGATTCTGACTATTTAGTGGAGTCTCTGTCTCACACGAGGAGCTTGTCACTCAATGAACACAATGCTTAAGCAACCACTTGTAAACTATGTTCCTACAGTGAGCCCACTTCACCACCCAGATGGGCTCATTTGAACGTCACTGATCCCAATGAGCAGCTGACCGATGGGAGTGGGAGTGACCGGCTGTCGGGCTTTTGTCGTGATGGTTTTATTATTCAGATCTCAGCAGACGTGGAGCTCGAACTGGTTACTCATTGATTGGTATCGGTCACGTTGTTGATGAGCTCATTGACAGTTTTACACACGGCAGAGCGGTGGACTGACTGTCAGCAACGCAATGCACTTCGATACATCCTCGTCGAGAATTCTTAATAGCCCTCACAACGTACCAGGTATTCCTTCTACTTTCAAAAAGGCCGAAGTTCCCTTCACCCCCGTAGTCAAAACACGTAAGGATATGTTATATTACAGCACATCAGCTGGGATCAGGGAACCCTCCTGATCTAACTGGGCTTGATTCCAGAGTACCTCCCTTTCCCGTATCATATCAAAAATCAGGAAGCCTTTGTAATCTAAGAGTATCGTGGTCCAGTAAGAGGGATTATCACGATTGAAAATGCTCGACAGTAACACTCCAACATCCAATGAGATGATTTCAAGTGATACGCAGATAAGAGGGCTGGAGAAATAAAACTATTTAGCTTCAAACATTAACTCTCCGTTACCCCTTAAATTCATCCCAGAAGAGAGGCCCACCAGAACCCTAAGTTGTGGTACGTAGATGGAACTATGGCTGCGTGGCAATCTGGAGGATGAATGCCGGTTCTCCACCCCCTTTCCACCTCGGACCCTGCACCTCAACACACCCATCTCAGAACGACGCTCGGTAAACCTAGTAAGTGCAGCCTACCCCACTCCTACTTATACTCCTTCTAGTAGACTCTGGGGAAGTTAGGTAGATTAGCCCTCCTAGCGCAAACCAGTGCTGCGCCTTATCGTTGACCCCGCACTGCGGCTACCAGACACTTTCCGCAAGCGGGACTATTATCCGACAGCCAAAAGCGAGAAAGATAACCCACGGGGATGCCCAGACACCTCCTTCTTACATTCTGCCATTAGCTCTGTTTCCAACTCTTCATGGTTCGTCAGTTCTACCCCAAGCTACAATGGTTCAGCCGACCGTCATAAGGAGAGCCAACAATGAGGCAGCCAAGCGTCGTGCGCCATATGCCCTGCGAGCGTGCGAAGCCTGCAGACGGCGCAAGGGCAAATGTGATGGGCGCCAACCGTGCCGGTACTGTACCAACAGAGGCCAGAGCTGTAAATATAATACCAGTTTAACCTCTTCAGATGACTGGCAAGCTCCTGCAGGGGCCGATGCAGACCAGGTTGATGCTACACAAGACTCGAGAGGGGGAAGCACATCATCTGCGCGATGGTACGTGACAGGCATCAGCCTCTTGAAGTGCATGCATCTCACTTATTATAAATCCTTACAGGAACCCAGAAACCATAGCGTCAATGCTGTGTTCTCTTCAAGAACAGCTCGACAGCCTAAATTCCCGCATTCAGACCCCCAGCCTGAATCTCTTACCTCCTCAGTCACCAAACGAAGCCGCTCCAGAGGACAATCACGATGAAAATTTCATGGCTACATTTACCAACGACGTCGACTCTAGTTCGCAAGGTGGCGCAGACGTTGCCTCAAAGCCTCTGGGTAAAGCTGCGTCTCCTCACTTTGTTGGGCCAACCAGCCCAGACTACAGTCTGAATGTGGCCCAAATAAAGCTATCAGGCCCATCGCTACAGCATCAGCAACCCCGGCTTGCTTTTATCCACCAAGATACAGTCGATCAACAAGATCCTCCATCCGAAGAAGATGCTCTTCATCCTACCGACGATGTCGATGTCTTTGACACATCATCAGCACATAGCGATAAAGACCATGCAAAGTTGCTACAATTCCGATCCGTGATCGGTTTACAAGAAACTCTCCGGCTCTTGCATGTGTATCAGGAGGTTATCGGAGAGCTCCATCCAATTGTCGACATTGACGAACTTGCTTCGCAAGCTCCGTCTTGTTATGAAGAGTCGGACTCTGGAATATGTGATCTCTTCAATCGGGGACCATGTGAGGTTTCCGAAGAGCAGCTGTTGATCCTCAATTTAATTTTGGCAATTGCTCTCCGTGCCGACTCAAACACCGCAAGCCACCATACAGGAATACTCCTTCGGCAAAGTTTCCAGGACATAGTGAACGCTAAACTTGCCACACCAGCTTACAGTTTGAACCATGTGATAATCATTCTCCTCAAGGTTCGTATTGTCATTTTTTACGGATTTTCAATGACCTCCCTGCTGACAAAACTGGGGCGATAGGGCTGGTATGACTACTTCAATGATAGCCCGCAATCTGCTTGGCGATTGTGCGGGATTGCAGGACGAATGGTAATGGAGCTTGGTTTCCATAACGGCGAGGTGTTCAAGCATCTGTTGGACTCAGAGTCTCAACGGTCGGAGGCATATACATTGATAAGCACAATTGTGGTTCTTGATCGTCAGTGGAGTGCCTCAACAGGTCTTCCTACGCATTTCCACGAATCAAGGTTTAACCCGGTCCCCGCAACATATGTAAGTACAGTACATTTGTCGATTTACCTGACTGTGGAGTTGACAATCTATAGACCATAAATCCATACCTAAAGGCGATGCTCTCCTTTATTCTAATTAGCGACAAGTTTAGCGAGCCTATTTCAAAGGTAGCCAAGGGGGAAAGATACAACGACTACGACGCATTCGAGTTAATGAACTTCCAGATCGAACAATGGAGGAAGAACGCGGTTGGTGAAAACTCTTTAACCCAGGTTGAGACTTGGTCAACGGATCCTTCAAGCAGGCCACCTACGTGGACAATCCTTTTAAATCTCCGAGCGGAATCTGTGCGGAGCCTGCTGATGAGACCATTCTTCTTCTCGGATGCCGACCCTGAGGCAACTAGACAGCATATCCGACCTGCAACAGACTTGGTATACACTGTTGTTCATGTTCTCTATACTATTGACAACACGACCAATATATACCGCCAACAACACCCGTGCTGCCAGCATCTTCTGGCGTCTATTTCCGCACTCGCATTTCTTCTAATAGCGTACATTGAGCAGAACCAATCAACATTGATGCCAACTCTAACTCCAGACCTAGTCAGCTCTCTTAGCCACAGCTTTGAAATGGCGGTGGCCTTGACGACAAGCTATGTCGGTATCTCAAAAGCAGCACGGAGATTGGACAAGCGGTTATCTGTAATGCGGAAGATCCTCACCACACTCGGAATTCTTGACGGTGTACCCACTGTAGAAAAAGTTATGCCAGGAAGAGCCAAAGAGAAAGTCGCACATTTGACCAATCCCGCTGCAAGGACTACTCATAAGAAAACAAGACTGGGCCAGTCAGCGACGCAAGGAACCCAGTTGAATCTTGAATTCAACGCAGCGCCATTTTTCCAAGATCGGATACCCGACACCGGAGGATTTGGCAATGACATGTTGCCAATAATGAGTGATGCTGAGTTCTCATCAGGGTGGATAGACGCACTTCGACTTCAATGTCAAAACGGGGATCTAAGCCATATGTTTTCCGAGGGTAATGCATTTTAAGAAGCTGGGAACGTACGAGAAACAAGCATGAGATTGGTGCATATCTATTCATATGTATGATTTCAGTTGTGAACTGGTCGAGTAATTCCTGTCCTTATCAAATCGGCCTACAAATAGTTTCTCAAAAAGTTATATTTTCTACGACTAAAAGGAAGGTTTACAGCTCCCGAGAATCCCATTTCAATGAATTCAACCTTTATGCACGCCAAACTTACTAATGATATTTGCTCCATACTAATTGCCCAGTCTTGACTACTGAGCCTGGTGGGTAGATGAAATCATCAGTGTCCCTTGGCCTTGTGTAAACTGCCAAAACTGGAGGAGTGATGACAGCACCTGCGCGCCACAGGAACAACATGTCAGTCATCGAGGTCAATGTCATTCAGAAAAATCTCTGAAACAGTGAGGAGGAGCCTGCGACTTCCCTTGAGAGTGACACCTAAAGCGGTGGATATGAGATCTTTTTAGGATCCGACTCGTATCCCAGCCAGAGCCTTCATACCGCACAGAACGATGGCTATTCCATCATGATACAAGGATCCTGACGCAATGCTGGCAGAGGGATAGATCCTTGGCAGTGTAGCATAAACTAGCTATGTCTCGGATCTCGCCCTCGCTAAGCGGAGTTTCGTGTTCGAGCATGGATAGAGCCCATTTGCTGTGATGAGACTCAGTACCGAACCGTTGCAGGATTTATCGAATGCGGATAGCGACCACACCTCGCGTTGCGGCAGTGATTCCCACCACCAGCCTCCGGCGCCGAGGGATTGATAGGCCTAGTTTGGTGGCGCCATGTTGTGTATCCTATACGACCTGTGTTATATATATTTCGAGAGGTGTGGATCTTTTCGTACGAGTTGATGCATCGCCAACAAGGCGCGCTCTTCTAAGACAGACGCGATACGTTATATGCGGATTCGTGAAGACTCTACCCACCCTACCAGCAGGGCATAGCCGCCCAACTTATCCGACGTGCGTGTTCCTAGCGCCAAACAGCCGCATTGCAAGGATCATTGCCGGATATCGCTCTGCTTTTGGTTCCGGTTATTGTTCCGGTCGTGCCGGTAGTTCCGAAAGATCCACATATTGTCGATAAGACGTAATAGTTCAACGTACTCACCGAGAAGAGAAATCCCAATCAAGGCCAGCTTCATTAAAAGCCAACTATCCACCGTATGAACACTTTTAATGTGTTGCGCATTCCATATCCATTCTCAGCCAAGCAAACATAATTTCAATATCAGAAATGCCATCCTCCGACCCGCTCGACGATGTTCGGCCCATGTTCGAGCTTCGAGGCCGCAATTATGTCATAACAGGCGGTGCCCAAGGTATCGGCTTCGCGTGTACTCGTGCAATCTGTGAGATGGGAGGCAATGTTGCCGTTTTGGATATCCAAGACAAGCCCGTTGACGAGTTCGAAACATTAAGCACTCGATTCTCCACAAAAACAATATATATTCGAACTGACGTTACCTCTGAGGAGAGTATCAAGGTTGCGATTGGCAGAGTGGTACAAGAGCTAGGCTCGATTGACGGATGTGTTCCTGCTGCGGGGATTGCCATTGACAAGCCCTTCCTGGACCAGACTTGGGAGGAGTTTAATCGTATCCAAGAAATCAACGTGAGCACCGCTGACCAGGTCACTGGGTATTCCCACAACTGAACAAATTCTCACACGTTCTAGGTCCGTGGTACCTTCTTTGTTGCCCAACTCGCCGCTCGACAGATGATCAAGCAGGGCACCGGGGGAAGTATGGTATTGCTAGCTTCACAATCCGCCCATATCGGTCTACCGGGATATCGAATGGCAGCATATAATGCTTCCAAAGGGGCAGTCTTCATGCTATCCAAGGCGCTAGCTGTAGAACTTGCACCTCAGAATATTCGTGTTAATACGATTTCTCCAGGCTTCGTGGATTCAGAGATGACAAGATCAGTTCGCGACCTGAAGAGCAAGCGTGAAGGCGAGCAAATGTGGCTCGCGCCTCCCAACCAGCGATTGAGCACGCAGAATGACCTGACTGGTGCTGTTATCTACTTACTTAGCGATGCCGCTCGCCATACAACGGCAGCGGACATACCGATTACTGGCGGTCTCCACGCCGGAACCATTGATGGCTTGATTAGCTATGAGTCTAAATAGTCTAATAATCAGTATGCGATAGAAATGTGATATTCAATAATACACAACCATCAATTCTGAAATCATGTATACCCAATGTCCGCGGCGTTGTAAAGATATAGCTCTGATGATATCTTTCGCCCCCTAACCTTTGCATAAAATCTAGTTCAAGCGTTGCTAAAGCAAATTTTAATGGAGATGGAACTGATGTTCCTGCATATGTTATCATGGCTGAACCTATTTTAGGAAAAAGTACCAAGATCACATTCTAGATCTCTGCACACAATAGAATGCCAATGCACTGGAATCACTCTCGCATTGAAACGTGGCTGTGGTGCCGTTGTTGAACAACACAATGTCTCCCGCATGAACAGTCACTTTGGTGCCAACCTCATCGCTGATTGTGCATTCTCCTTCAATAAAACACTTCACTTCGTCAAACTCGTACACGATAGACTGCTTCTTGTCCTTCTCAAGTCGGAAATATCCTGCGGTAAGTGGCACCTTAGATCTAGAGGACAACGAGTCTTGAGAATGTTAGCTCGGGTATCTTCAATGATGCAAAAGACAGTCCTTCAAAGTCTTATATTTACCTTTCATAAATGCCCTGACATTGGGTGCCACCTGAGGGAGTTCTGCTGACTGATTAGCGAATCCGCCTTGCTTGTACTCGATGGGCATGTTTCTCGGCTGACTGGTAAAAAAACTACGACGAGGCTGACCTCTCTGTCTCCTCTCTATGGACCATTTTGAATTATGTTATAGTTGACTATTTACGAGCTAAGACTTCACAGACGCGTTTAATGAACAGACCAATGGTATTCCTCCTAGCACGGAAATTCCGTCCCGATTCCTAGACCCAGACAAGCGGGTTCCAACTACATTTCCGCTCCACAACACAGATCTTAGGATCATGAGCGCCACTTGCCAATTTTTCCTTCGGCACTTCACCAGGCTTAGGCATGACTAAACCTCAAGGAGTATTGCACTAGCACTATGAATGAAACATGATGTTAAGTATCGCCCAACCGAGAGGCCAAGCTACAAAGATTCAAACCCCATGGCAGACCAGTTGGCTCTCACCTTATCCTTTATTTCCTTGGGGTAGCTTTTCTCAAAGTCGACGCCGCTGAAAGCCCGCTTTCCTTTGTATTCCATTGGGAATAAACAGTCAGAGATAGCCTTGCCCCCTCTCCTTGCGTCCCCGCTGCCATGCGACATGTACGGAGTAAGGGGAAAGCCAGGCACATCTTCAAATACATATTCATCCCGGCCTGGGCGGCAGCGCGTAACCAAAGCCCAAATAATATCATCAAACTGACGTATGTCCACATCATGTCCAAATAACAAAATTCGATTGATAAGCATGCAGCTTTTGTCGTTGAAAGCAATTTGCCCAAGTTTGCTACAGAAGTCTTGAGAATTCGTTTTCTCTTTGGCAAGCCTATTAGTGTCTATCTTAAGAGCGCACCAGGTAGCATGCATTTCGAGAGGTGCAAAAGGATCTATCACTGGAAGATTATGTTCCTTGCAGAGTTCCAGAAATTCTTCCGATGCAAGCGATGCTGTCGTGTGCTGTTTTAATATAAAATGATTAGCTGTGAATAATGGAAGAACCCTTCAGTAGATATCTCTTACAGACTCGTCAGAGATTCTTCCAGGAACAGAAACAGGCAATATCGCGTCATCTCGATAGGTAATTGCATTGACAGTGAAAAGGGGCTGTAGATGTTTGTCGTCGTCGTCAAAGTGAAGTCCTAAATAATCTTCAAATGGACCTTCGTAGGCTTTGTCCTCAAGAGAAATGTTCCTTCGAACACGATTTCGCTGTTTGCAGGCACTAAGAGGTCACTCAACTCACACTTGACCAACTCAAGAGGCTCGCCCACGAGCGCGCCAACGTATTCACCTTCGGATACGCCCTCTGGAATAGGGCATGCGGCCGCTAGACTAACTGCTGGCGGAACACCCATTGCCAAGGCCCACGGAATCTCCGTTGCTCCCTCCTTGAGCCACTTGTCCCTGATGATGGAGTTATGCTGGCCACTTCCAACCAAGCATACTAGACGTCTGCTGTCATGGATCATTCCGCGGAAGATGGACCAATTTGTCCATGATGCGTCAGGAGCTTGAAGGATATGGACTCCATATGTCTGTAGATATTTCCCTCCATCTGCCTGGTGCAGCATTGGTGCTGGAAGCTTGTTTAAATCGATCTCATCACCAAAGATCTTGGTTTGTTTGCATGGCCCTGTCGATATAACGTGAGGCCCTACCTTGGGCTTGGCCTTGCCAACCTGGCTTCTCTCGAGAATATCCTTCCAACTTGAATCGGCAGGCAAACCAAGGGATCGAGCTATCCTCCCGTACTTCTCTGGTCTGTGACTCCTCAGACTTGCGGCATTTCCAAACATCCTCCACAGACCGTTTTTGGCTCCCTTGACATTATGGAAGAGAGGTGCTTTTCCATTGACCTCGCTCACACGTCTAACGATTGCGCCGACTTCAAGGTGCGGATCCACTTCTAGTTTAATATCTGCAAGGTCTCCGTCTTCGCGTAGCACATCAATGAAGGTGCGAAAGTCGAGCTTCGCGGCGACATGGCGTGGATGGGATGTAACAGAACTTTTGGATCGAAACGAGCTTGATCTAAGGGCCAGCCGGTGTGGAAGTCTCTTAGTAGCTGGTCTTAGTATCGGACGATATTGAACATCGACATCCTGATTATTTGTGCTTGGTTTGTTTGCCAACTTGCATACTACCCAGGCTAAACCGGTATGGCATCAGGTGAGTGCATTGATATAATCAGATAGGACGATCGCTAGCAACGACATACTCTATCATTAGCGTCACTTCCCGATTTACCACAGAGGAGTGGATCTCCACGGATGTTCCGATGAGATAGGAAGTATTCCGTGGCACTTCTTCACTAGACTCACTATTCTCCGGCTCGGGCATTGATCATTTTTCTACAGCCCAAGATTAAACTCTCAAGTCAAGCTGGGCCAGTGCATGAGTAAATGCGTAGTTGAGAGTAACCTCAGCAAGATGGCGTCCCACGTGCGTGCTTGTTGTTGCACTACTGGTAAGCTCCACGAGTAACTAACAGCTCTCCTCCTTGATTTGGTGGTTTTCACTTCTGAATCCTTCAAACAATAAGAAAACTCCTCGTGGAGCGTACATCTTGGTTGGAGAGAAAGTCAAAGCATATAGGCTCACCCTCTACCTCTAGCACTTAGCTTTGTTTCGAGTGGATTTATCTGCCTGATACTCCGTTTGTTCAACGGTGATCAGCTGCCAGTAAACATGCCAGGCGATTTTCACATCATAAAAAGGCTCGGCGAGGGATCAAATGGGCGTGACCCGCATAGCCCCAAGGCTATAGACCCTTTCGGTCATACTGGTATAAAACATTTGCAGAATAAACTTTCCAACTATATTACAGCGCCCGGATCTTGTTTGGAAGCAAGATGCATAATTTTTTCTCAAATAAGTTGATCTGGGAGCTAAATTAGTAACTCTGCGCAAGTACATCATTAGCTATTTCCGAGATGGTGTCCATTTCTCGTCCACAACTATAGCCCCTTGTTTTTATCGATATAGAAGCCCTGATCTATTGAAGGAACTCACGTAGAACTCGTAAATGTAGGAATTACATAGCGTTTGTTTTCATCACCATCACAACTATTTTGGTCATGTCCGAGGGTTTGTTATACTTCACACCTTCTGACCGGAACAATCACGGAACGCCGAACCAAGCCTCATCCCAACATAGCTAAGATCAGTAGAGAGAAGCCAGGATAATAAGACTTTGACAAACCGCTTATACAGCAAGGTCTAGAGTATTTGAGGAATAAGATAAGTAGATAGGCATCACCCAATCGGTTTGCAAAAAGTACGCGATCGGGACACATCAGCATCATGAGCTTAACAAATCAAATACCACTGGCGGGGCGTCCGTTACCCACAAACCAACAAACCCAGACGCAGAAAGACAAGAACATTTCGGAATCCAGAATGAACTTAGAAGAGATTATTCGCTGCCATCTTTGGTTGGGCTTTGTCTATGCCTGATGGGAACATGGGAAGCCAGCTCAGCCGTTCTCACACAGGCACTATTGAGCGGCGGAGCCCCTTGCCTCTTCTACAATTTGTAATTTGACTCTCCATACATGCCCTGAAACATTTTTGTTGACCATATGGTAATAGCATTCTCACCTTCCTTTGCACGCTTGCTATCGGGGCCTCATTGGCTGAGATTGCATCTATATATCCAACAGCCGGCGGTACGTTATTAAATCACCAACAAATATCGCGCCGGGACTAACTTGGACCCAGGCCAGTATTATTGGGTCACGGCCCTAGCCCCTAGATCGGTAAAAAAGTTAGCGGGCTGGACAACTGGCTGGACATCACTAGGCGGCCAGATTGTGCTCACAGCATCGCCTGCATTTATATCAGGTCTAATGGTTCAGGGCCTTATCAATCTTAACGACGATACCTACGTGGGCACCAGATGGCAGGGGATGCTATTTTATTGGGCCTTTGTTATCTACGCTGCAGTCATGAATGTATGGGGCCATCGGTTCTTGTCATAGCAAACCTGATATCAGGTACACTGTCACCGGATCCCATCATTCGCTCTATTCGGTATCTGACACAGATACAGGCGTTTTACACGTTGGTTGCTTCGTCATTGCGTTCGTCGTTCTCGCTACTATGTCCAGGAAAAACTCAGCCGGTTTCGTCTCCACGAAAGTTTCAGACCAAACTGGCTGGCCTAATGGCGGAATCGCCTGGATGGTAGGTTTAATCAGCACCATCTATCCATTCCTCGGATACGACACGACATGTCACCTGGCTGAAGAAGTCCCACACGCGGCACGAAATGTTCCTGTCGCCATTGTGGGGAGCATCACCATCAATGGCTTGATGGGACTAGCTTCTGCCACGATGCTCTCGTTTTTCTTTGGGTCACTGGAAGACATTCTTGCTACATTAACTGGCTTTGCATTTATGCAATTATCGTAAAGTCCCACGCTGGCGCAACCATCCTATCACTTTTCCCCATCATTATCGCTATGGCTGTGGCCGTTGCGGGCGTGACGTCTACCTCACGAACACTCTGGGCCTTTGCTCGCGATCGTGCTACACCATTCTCAGGGTTCCTGAGCCATATCAAACAGAAGAAGCAGGTTCCGGTTAGGGCTATATGGATCATCTTAATCCTTCAGATTGTTCTCGGCTTCATCTATCTGGCTAGTTCAACGGCATTCAATGCTATTCTTTCTATGGCCATTGTCAGCATGTACGCCTCCTATTTTATTCCGATCGCAGCAATGCTTTTCGGAGGCCGTGGACGGGTGCAATCAGCCGACTACGGGCCCTTTAAGCTGGGCGATCGCTTGGGGTTATCTTGAATATCGTCAGTATCGGCTGGATCCTTGTTTCGATGGTATTCAGCACCTTTCCCAGTGTTATACCTACCACTGCAGATATCATGAACTACTCTATTGTCGTCGTTATAGGATGGCTTGTATTTGGAATTCCGTTCTACTTGGTCTCGGGTCGTCAAAAGTTTGAGATGCCGATAGTTAGCGCAGGACTAATCATGGGGATCCCGCTGACCGCAGACCCAGCGGCTTAAGCGCCAGTTAACAGTCTTGCAAAACTTCCGTACGATGTTATTTCTCGGCCTATCCATTGTGTTGAGTTGTCAGGTTCTGGCATCTTCCATTGCGGTTTAATTTTCTCCTCAAACTCTCTTACGTACATTATTTCTCGGCCTGAAGTTATGCCAAATATATATAACAGAACTCTTGATATTACGGTATATCTCAGGTAGCTGATATAAATCCAACCGTGAAGGGGACCATCCGGCTCCAACGTATTTATCAGAGCTACCGTGCTATCTACCCACCCGCAATAGTACAACCACTTAGCTACCGGTGAGATAGTCTCTTATAATAGGCCCAATCTAAAAATGCCTCACTAGAATTAAATCAAAGGGCACCCTGCTCCCTGATGGACCTACTGGTCCCGATAATGGTATCATGGGGAGAGAGAGAGACCCGTTGCCTTCACTGAAGCACAGATTGGTGCTAGAGGTCCTTCCGACTCCAGAGGCGTAACTATACCTGGTTTGGGCTTTGCTCTTGTCAAATAATACTCCCCACTTCGGAAATTCCCTGTCTTTATATGAGAGGGTTATTGATATTAGTTCCTCAACGGAATGATCCACGCGCAGTTCCTAAGGCGTTCAGAGCCTGCCCAGGTCGATACCTCATCTCATATCGGTATTAGTCTGACCTCCATATAAAGCCGCATGGCACTACCATGCCGTAGATGAAGAAAGAAGTGCATCGAGAAACCAAATCAGGGTCGCATTTAGTAGGCATCATGAACAGAAGCATACTACAGCAGGTAAGAATCACCCAACAACCAGAGCGCTGGTTCAACATCAGGCACCGACGTCTCTCCACTAAAACGACGGTTCCCCTCGTTATCAACGGCAAAGATGTTGAGACATCCAATGTCCATTCTGTTATAAGCCCTTTGACGGGTAAGCCAATATGGTCTCTGGCATGTACATCAAGCCAGCATCTCGAAGATGCCATCCAAAGTGCCCATTCCGCTTTCCCTAGGTGGTCCAAGACCAAGGCATTCGTACGAAGCGATATCTTTCTTACTGCGGCTGATATTATGAATAAGCGACGATCAGAACTTGGTGAATACATGCACCATGAGATAGGAGCTAACCAAAGATATCAAGATTTTATTTTAGGGCTTGCTATTGATGGCCTGAAAGACACGGCTGGGCGAATTTTTGGGGCTGTCCAGGGGTCTACACCAGAGTCGACCTACGAAGGAATAAAGGTCATCGTTCATAAGCGCCCCTATAGAGTAAATCTTAGGATTACATCGTAGTATACTATCATTAAGATATCAACTCTTATATACCGATCGTCCTACTAACGTTACCTACGCATTAGGAATGCGCCATACCATCTTGGACTGCGATCTATCTCCTTTGCCCTTGCTCCTGGAAATACAGCTATTCTGAAAGGAGCAGAACTTTCACTACAGTACTACTGGGGAATTATTAACATCTTCCGCGAAGCTAGTTTACCAGACGGAGCTCTGAATCTCATCTTTCACTCTCCCCAAGATACAGGCACCACCATCAGCGCCCTTGTATCCCATCCGACAGTAAAGAAGATCAACTTTACCGGAAGCACCAGGGTTAGCAGCATTATCTCAGAAATTGCTGGTAAACATCTGAAACCTGTTCTTATAGAGCTCGGAGGAAAAGCAAGTGCGATTGTGCTCGAAGATGCCGACCTAGAGCAAGCTGCCCTCCATTGCGCACGAGGAGCTTTTATAAATGTGAGTGTTGGAGGAATAATCCTATCTTCCGCTGAATCGAGTCACTCATAGTAAGAAATCAGGCTGGGCAGATATATATATCAACCGAACACGTCTTAGTACAAGATTCGATCGCCCCCGAATTCCAGAATATCCTGCAACGCACTATTCAAGACCTATTCGGGTCCACAGATAATACTCCAGTCCTTATAACTGCGGCTTCAGCCTAACGAAACCGGGCCTTAATATCAGATACAGTCGGCAAGGGTGCAGAATCAGTACAAATCTTCAGCAACACTCACAAAGATCAAGTAGGAACCAGAATACGACCAGTCATCCTTAAAATATCGACAAGAAAATAGATCTTTATACCAGCGAATCTTTTGGTCCCAGCGTATCACTCTTCACTTTTGAAACCTTAAATAATACTATCACATTAGCCAATGACACAGACTACGGCCTGTCAGCTTCCATCTTCACAGACGACTTAGGCAAGGCATTCCGTATTGCTGACGAATTGGAATCCGGGGCTGTCCATATCAACTCGATGACCGTTCACGATAAGTATCCCCTTCCCCATGGCGGAGTAACGAATAGCGGGTTTGGATGTTTCAATGGTTACCAAGGGTTGGATGAATTTCTATACTATAAGACAGTCACCTGGATGGAGTAGTTTAGATTTTAATACACTTGTTGCAGACACTAAGGAAACTTTCAACGCAAGCGCGCAATGGGCTCGCACACTTCAATATGGCGCACGCTAGATATTTATTTCAAACGCAGGATAGGGAGTTTTGCTAATCGAACTATTCACTTGTTTTGACGGCATAGATTATAGCTCTTAATCCCACCATTCTAGCTCTTGAGTTCAAGAACTATGTAGAAACGAGTTGGTAAGCCGGAGTTAGAGTCGGAAGTCCGGAACCACTCACTCTTAATCACATGCCCAACTCCTTCCTAGCCCTCGTAGGCCATAGCTAAGAGAACACGAATTAGAAAGCTCCTACCTATGCCGACTGCTTACGCTCTGAGAGAAATGGCTTTAATCATATCGGCCCCGCTTCGAAACTCTCCATCAATTAAGATTTCAACGGAGGAGAGGATCTCAGGGTAGTGATTCTACACATCCGGTTAAATCAGGATATCTGGGGGTGGGTCCTCGGTCAGCGGCTCTACCACAGTGATTGCCAAGCACAATACTATCGCATCCCATGGGGTGTGCAACTCTCGGATCTCTGGCAGTCTAGACCCTTTTGACTATGATCGGTAGAGGTTATGACCCTGGAAGCCATGGGAATAATGCTCCAATCCGCGGTGAAGTCAATCAACCCAGGTGTGTGCCCCATAAGGCTACTACCTGTTCATCACCACGGCTCACAGTTGTGTGAAATAGTGAATAATTCCTCCTACTCTGGTCCTCGAGCCAAGAGGGTTTGTAGACCAGAGCCGGAACACATAGCCGGAATACGGATTTAGGGACGGAAATCCCGATCTACATCAGAGCCAAGTATCATCGCAGCATTTTTATTATAGTCCCAGGTAGTAACCACGGGCTACTATTGCGGGGATACCGGAATTCAGGTATTCCGCCGGTTAGGCGTTCCTAACCAAACTGCGAGTCAATCAGGGCCCAAACCGCCCGTGGCAGTCGATCCAGATCATGAATCGATTTTATATACCTTTGCTAAAGTAGAATAGGAAATGCAAATTCCAGAGACCCTCGGAAAACCATCGAGACAAGAGCCATATTACAAGAAAGATTAACCGCAAAGTCAATATGTCAGACAAAACACCCCGATATCTCACGCAACCCCAGTACAACTCAAAGGTCCTCGTTCGTGGTAATCCGGACTACGAGCGATGCCGTCGCAACAATCCAACCGCCGACACTCCATCCCGCTTCCCACGAGAAATACACATAGTTGAAACGCCCCAAGATGTTTCAAAGGCTCTTCAGCGTGCCACTGAGCTTGGGGTGCCTGTTGGTATCCGCTCATCTGGCCATATTATGAACATGCCAAACCTCATTGAAGGCGGTATTCTCATCGATACGATAAACCTAAACCGGCAGATCGACTATGACTCGGTTACACAAGAGATTACATTCGGCCCATCTTGTCGTGTAGAGGAGCTTGCGGCAAGATTGAAAGAGATCAACCGGTTCTTCCCCCACGGACATGCTCCTACCGTAGGCTCAGGCGGGTTCCTCTTGGCTGGTGGCCAAGGCTGGTTTGTCCGTGGTTGGGGCGCCACCAATCAAACATGGCTCACCAAGATCGAAATCGTTGTTCCGGATGGGCGAACTGTTATTGCCAGCCGTACAGAGAACCGAGATTTATTCTGGGCAGCACGTGGCAGCGGCCTGGGTTTCTTTGGTGTTGTCACTCGGTTTTGGGGACGAACTATCAAAACCTCGCTGATGTGGGAGCGAATCCTTAAGTTTGAGATCAATAATGATAACTATATGACACTCATGTCTTGGGCGATTGAGAGGGGGCGCGACACCCCTAAGTATGGTACAGACCTAAACCTCACTATTGACTATCCAGAGAAATTCGACCCGTCTTATACCACAGATGCCATTCCTCCTGGTGGAAAACTTCATCTGACACTCAACTTGCTCTGCTACTCGGACAATATCAGAGAGGCGCGAACCTTGCTTAGCGCCTACGACAAAATCACTCCCGAGGTCCAAGAGAGCCTCCTTAAGATGGAGCCTGTACAAAGAAGAACTGTCGAAGAGGTCTTTGCTCGAAAGCGCGGATTTCTTGGCAATGCTGGGAATGATCGGTGGCAAATCAACAGTATCATGAATGACCCGGATGTCCCTCTAGAGAGAGTGAGTTTGCCCCCCCCCTTCTTTTTCCACATCACGATTTTGTTTGTTTGAAAGATTTCCCAGGCTCACGAATAACCCTTTAGCTCCTGGAAGCAATTAAGCCAGCCATGCTTGAGCTTCCCACGCGCACTTCGTCTGTGTTCTTGTGCCACTGTGATATTACACCAGACGAGGAAGATGCATGCCTCAGTCTGCCTCAGGATCTCTATATCTCTACCATCACAGGATGGACGGATTCCCGGCTCGAGCCAGCCATTTATCAGCCCATGCGCGACTACTACAGGCGTGCTTTCCCTGTGGCTGTGGGACAATATATTACTGAGATTGATGTTAATAACGACGATGCAAATGTAGGTTTAATAATTGTCATCATTCTTTACAGGAATCCTACTGACATTCTAAAGAACAAGGTACTAAGCGACACTGCTTTGGCTAAATTCCTCAAGATCAGAGAGAAGTGGGATCCGAACGAACTATTTCCTAACTATAAGACCTTCATCCGCGCGCATGACAAAATCAACCGCATGAAAAATAAAGCCCAGCTGTAACCCTTATATACCGATTTAAAACGATGTTAACTAGGTTATATATAGCATTATATACAGTAAGCTATAATTGAAAACTACGCGCTTAATTTTGCAGTTTCCGAGCCTGTAAATCCAAAATATCTAGCAGTGCAGCTTATAAACGCTGGTGTTTAGGTTCCTATCCAAGCACTTTCGTCGCCCGAATATCTCGAATTCTTTTATTTGTTCCATAGCCATAGAGTGCCGATGAATTGAGTCTCAAAGCTTCCTCGTTGCGCAGTTGATCTAGATCGGCAGTCTCTATATAGCCTCTGTCCTTGGCAATCTTCGCTAAATAGTGAAACGTGTCGCCCCATTGCCACATCCAATTCTCGGCAAAGTAGTACCCATGGCTTCCCCAAGTGACAGTGGTATCATCAGAAATAGTCGCACCACCCTTATGTAATTCAAAGCTAACTAGGTCATAGAAGTGAATATCAGAAATTCATGTCTTTACTGTACCGATCAAAACCATTTTTCCGTTCCAAGATAATGCTGCTCATCTAATACGCTTGCATACTCGTCGTGTTACAAGGCCTCCGTCGAGGTCCATGTACGAGTGGTGGGCATATAATAGCAGCCTTGACCGAGTCAGCGTGCTCCATGCCCAGAAAACTCGGCATCCACGTTGCGATGCTTTACCACGTCTGGGAGTTTCACGACTTCCTCTATGCCTTCCCAGTCGTCTAATGTCTTCGTACGTTCAATACCCCATGTTTCGTTTCCAAAATCTTCATACATTGTGACGCCTGCGCCAGAAGTATGGATAAAGAAGGCTGGTCGTTCGGGGGTATGACGTTGGGCACCGCGCGCAATTGCTTGGGCTCCTGCTAGATGGGAACAGCTCGCAAAATCTAAAGAGTCTGGTCAACAACAACTCGCGAGTGTGGGCGGCTCTCGTGATTTCAACTTGCGGTAGATAATGTCCGCCCTTTCGACTTCTCTCTCGATAACACAACTCGAGACGAGATCTCTTTCGACAACTCGGACGTTTGTACACGCTTTCTGAACAAAATTGGCCTTTTTAGCATCTCGAATAAGGGCTGACGTATTCCAGTGCGATCTCTCACGAGTAATAACGCTGAGGAAATCCCCGCCGACATAACCTGCAATACCAATGCTAGACGGCAACCAGTTAATACGCATAAAATAGACTAGTAATTCGTATAGCAACCTACATAAAGACACGCGAAGTCTCCAATGTGCCTCGATCGACTAAGCCGAATGTACTGATTGCAAGGAGACCAACAGTCAACTTTGAGAGGGGAAGGTCAGGAATTCGCGATTTCACCGTTGGGCTTAAGCGTATCCTGATCACGCCATACTGCAGACTTGGCGGAATATATATTTCGCCATTATTCGCTTATGAACAATGCGCTTAATAATGAATCAAGGCTGCTCAGTCATCTTCAAGTAATGAAATCGCGGTATTATACACCTCCGACTCTTCCATTCCACAAACTATTAACAGTGGTACAAACAACTTGCTCAGTTTGATGGCGAAAAAGAAAAAGGAATAAAAATATTTCCAACAACTTAAATCCTTTTAGATAAAAGCGTATCAAATGAAAGAGTCTATAACCCGTGAGGCCTACAACACTGTTTTAATACATGCTGTACCGAGCCTATCTCTGTGTGAAGAAGGTGGATAAAGGCAGGAACAAGTCCTCGCCAGACCTAGATATATATATACCCGAACGGGTAAGATACTATCTCCAATTTTCATTGTAGTCCTAAGCTAGAGCATTGTTGACCCGATGAGTTAGATTCGCTCGACTAGCCGTTACGTGCACATTTTGCTGCCTTTTTCGTGACTTCAGCCGCAGGTTCTCCCGGCAAAGTATATTCCTTCTGGTTGGTTACCACTCACCCCAGCACTGCGCCACACAAAATGTATAGTGTACGTAAAGGGAGTACTAAAACCCCAGAAATTGACGCCATCCCAGGCCTTGTCATCGGGAAAGTCAGTAGCGAAGGCTGATAACCGCAGGTTACTATATGCTCTGGCCGCGAAATGCGGCCCTCCACCACGAAGGCCTAGTCGTCATCACGAATAGACGAGAGCATACCGGTATTAGCATGGCATGAGACATATTCGAAAAGTTGCTGGCTAGACTCCAATACCGACACCTCGTGGTAGAGGTGTAAGCTGAGTTCATTGTTCATCTCTTTGGCGTACTTCATAAAGACGGCGAAGATATTGACGTGCGTGGGATGAGACTTGCTCCAAGCCTCCAAGGAAGCCAGATCATCGAAATAGCCAAGACCGAAGCTACGATCTTTCCCGGTCTCACCCTTGGGGCCAACAATATCCATGAATCGGTTGCTGTAACAGCCAACCTCGTCTCCGTGATCGTGAAGGAAGTCCATCCCAGCTTGCAGAGCGGGTCGCATCATATTGAGGTAAAGGTCACGCTCTTTAGGGAGTGTCTATTTCTAGTCTTGTCCGGAGCGGATCACGGCGAGGTTTCTCTTGCCAGGCACGCGTACTCTGGACGTAAGAGTGGATGGACGTTTCGGCCCTCGAGCTTGCAAGAACGCCTTCTCACCCACAAGCTCGTCGACTCGTGCCAGAGGCAGGCGGTCGCGCATGCTTCCCCAATAACCATGCTCCAGAACCGGACCACTGACATTGTCCCGCATGTAAGATGCACCTTCGCGCATGGCTGTGTCAGTCAGGATGGTCTCAAAGCGATCCATAGTAGGGAAGAAGACCTCCAAGAACCATCCATTCTACTGGTTTGTCGGATCCAAGCCAGACCACCACTCTTGAAACCCAGTCTGTTCCGACCATTCGTTCCATGTCCTTCTATCTGGCCAGTATGCCAGCATAGCGATGTTGTAGTGGCTTCGGTTGTCTGTCACGGCAGCGACCTCTTCCAACGTGGGTCGAAGATGATTGGGGACAGCTGTTGAGCTGGTGAAGGAGATGATCTTCTCCATGGCGACATCGTCATTGAGGTCAGATGAAGAATATTGCACTCCAATAATCGCAAAGACCAGCTCTTTCATCGACTGTGGGTACCGCGAAGCGTAAATTTCAAAGGGAGGCTTGAAATTGTCTGGCGTTTTACCCGGGACAACTCTCTCTGTCCGTAAGTGGGGGGCAATAGCCGACTCAATTTCAGCCATGTTGAGATTCAGCAAAGATTTATAAACGTTGGAATCGACTTTCGAGATGCCTTCAACACAGACGTGGTAGTTATTGTGGCCAAATGATTGTCCGGAAGCGGCATGCACACGCAGACGGTTTATATCCCCTGCTTGCAGAGGCTAAGACGCCGCTGATATCTTGAAAGCCGACACTAGTCAGATATGACTTGCAATTGCAACTCCTTCAATGCCATAGACATACAATTCAAATCCAGACCATACGATTGGACATTTGAGACAATCGCCCCAACGGCCCAAGACAACAGAAGCTATGGGAAACGATAGGATATTGCTTTCCCGGAGTGGGTCCATTCGATATCGATCGCCCCTATGATGTTGATCACTGACTTATGTTGATATCAAAAGATAGGATAATGCTCTGCCGGAGATCGGCTAAATCATAGATTACCCCGCGTGCAGATAGAACAATCATTAATCTGGGGTAAGTGAACATTGATCGATAGGCAATTGCTGTCCCGGACTAGTCACGTCGCGAAGATGAACCAGTGGCTTACCGGGGCATCGGAATATGAAGACTTCAGCGCAGCTTGAAGATCTATAAAGGAGCAATACGTATTCGAAGTATCATGGGTTGATTAAGAATATCAAGCCTTTTCACACGACATCCCATATTTCAAGACTCATCTGCACTTGTTCTTTCATCACAAACCAATTCCTTTCGGTCGATCGATTCAACACAATGTCGACTTCCGGTCAGAAACTCAAGGTTGCTGCCATCCAGGCTGAGCCTGCATGGAACGATCTCGAAGGGGGTGTCACCAAGTCCATCGCCCTCATTGAGCAGGCTGCGGCGCAGGGAGCTCAGGTTGTCGGCTTTCCCGAGGTCTTCATTCCCGGATACCCATGGTGAGTTACTTAGCCTCTCATGGCTGGCCAAAATACGGACGACTAACACTGGCTGGGTAAGGAGCATCTGGGCACAGAACCCCATCGACAATGGAAAATTCATGGATGAATACTTCCGCAACTCCCTAGCAAAGGATTCGCCCGAGATGAAGCGCATCTGCGCCGCCGTCAGGGAGGCTGGCGTCTTTGTCGTCCTGGGCTACAGCGAGCGATACAGGGGTACCCTCTACATTGCTCAATCATTCATCGACGAGAACGGAGTCATTGTCCACCATCGCCGCAAGATCAAGCCCACCCATGTCGAGCGGGCCTACTGGGGCGATGGCCAGGGCGAGTCTCTCCAGAGCGTGGTGCCCAGCTCCAAGCTCCCTGATGTCCGAGTCGGAGGTCTCAACTGCTGGGAGCATACCCAGACTCTCCTCCGATACTACGAGTACGAGCAAGACGTCGATGTGCACATTGCCAGCTGGCCACCTCTCTGGCCGACGCCTAAGAAGGACGGAAAGCCCGACCCCGCCTGGCCAAGCCACATCACAGACGAGATGTGCCTCCGCTTCTCTCAAATCGTCTCGCTCGAGGGTGCCTGCTTTGTCGCAGTCGCCACGCAGGTCCTCACCAAGGAGAGCCTCAGGCGATGCAGAGTCGACCAATTTGAGTATGCAACAAACCACCCCACCCATGGCGGTGGTTTCAACCCGTGGGGAGAGGAGCTTGTGGAGCGTCTAGACCCAAGTGAGGAGGGCATCCTCATCGCCGAGGTTGATCTATCCCTGAAGCGGCTTGCCAAGCAGAATCTGGATGTCGTCGGTCATTACTGCCGCCCAGACCAGCTGAGCCTGCGCGTGAACAAGTATCCCGCCCGCGCCGTGCACTACACCAGCGAACCCTAGATGGCCTAGACTCCATCCCCTCAAGTGTGCTAATGCAATGGGCTGTGTGGTTATAAATGCATGCTCTGAGACACGGAGCAGCCGGCTCAAGCTGCTTCTCTTGATCAACCCTGTTACCTGTCGCTGTCACTTCCGCTATTTGTACCAGTTTGGCTTGACAAGGGCTGCCACATGCAGTTACCGATCTTTTCTGTCTTATCACACTATAGGCGATGCAGGCGAGCATAGTTACTTGATATAAGGGTAGTGTCAATTTTGTCGATAGTACACCAGTAAATTCGTTTTGAACATCCCGTGATGAGCTTATCATCGAAGTGCATATGATGAGTACTAGATGGTCTCTAATAGCTCCAACCAATGGGAAGGCAGAATGCTATGTGCGCGTGACATTATTGTATCATTTGACAATTTATCCGAATATTCACCAGCTAATTACAGCCGAATAGCTAGCCAATCATGGCTCGCGACGGCCATTTGCTGCTAGCTCGGCCTGGCTGACTTCTATTACGACGAGTGATCGATGCGTAGCAGACCTGATTGTCCAAGGAATAGCCGAAGCGATATTAGCCCCAATCATCCCCTAGATATTGACAATTGGGTTGTCAGTTTTTGGCTGAACATACTACAAGAACAAGTTGGCTGCCACCTGCACACGCGACTAGTATGGGCCATTGGATTATTGACATGTCCGCTATGACCATTATTGTTATAGTGAGTTTATTAATGTACGTATCACCTGCTTATGGAACAACCTTGAAGATCTAGCCTCTTGAACGATATTAGCGCAAATGTAGCTACAGGGTATGGGCAATCTTCGAGCGGCCGACCTGAGTCATGGATGTTTACCTAGGACAAGATGCAGCATTCGTACTTTATGTACACACAAAATACCTCTATACGTGAGCACCTTTGCATGTACTTAACAGAATACGACCTCGCCATGTCAGAAGTGACTGGAGTCCTCATCAGAGACCTATCATTCGTCGTCCATACCTCGCAGTCACCAGCCGAAGTGTCAATGAACACTAGGAGCATCACCAAAAGCGGAAAGGGGAGGAATTCTATTCCGGTCATCATGTGCACGCGCTAGCAATAGTTCCCATTCCCCAACCTCGACTGCGATAAGGGACTCGGGCCCATCAACTGACCCACCTTCATCCATTTCCCCATAACATACCCATCACATTCTCCCGGAAATTACGTATTACTTCCCCAGGACTTTCTTTGGCCGCTCACAATGAAGCCAGCTGGAAGACAGCGTGTGTCGCTTGCTTGCTTGGCGTGCCGCGCAAAGCGGATGCGTGTCAGTCTGACGACCCCCCGTGCGGCGCTCTCCCTCCTCGGGCCACCCCACTCGCGATACTGACATTGATGCAGTGTGACGGCATGGAGCCAGTATGCGCTTCTTGCGTGAAAAGAGACATCGAGTGCATCTATCAGCATACGGAGAATAAGCGCAGGTTCGTAGTCCTCGTCTATAGACCTCCAACCTACCCCACAAAAAGCCCTTCCCGACTCGTGTGGTGTTGAGCAGCGTAATTGATGAAACATTGCGCCAGGCCGCCTAGTAAGAAATATGTCGAGTCTCTGCAGGCCCGGATCCGACACTTGGAGTCTCAGTTGACATCATTGGGTGCTCCGTTACCTGGTGCCCAATATGTCGAATTGGGCCGCGACGGGAGCGAGGCGGAAAGCGAGACAGAGAGCGACCAGCATAATCACGATCCCTTGTCCGAGCTGACCGGCCTCGTCGGGCGGCTTGCCGTTGTCGATGATGGGCAACTGCACTATTTCGGCTCCCAGAGCTCCTTCAATCTGCCGAGGCAGCCCGCCAACCCAGCTCCCACGGCGCAGAATCTTTGGACCAGAATGCAGACGCAAGGCCTCGCTGCGGCAGCTCAGCTTGGGATGCTCACCACCATAACCTCGGAACTTGAGGATCACCTTCTAGATCTGTACTGGAGGTGGCAGAATTCATGGAACTACATTGTTCACAAAGGCGCCTTTTTGAGAAGCCGGGCGGGCCTCGACGATGGGCGATACTGCTCTCCGCTGCTTCTCTCCGCTATATTCGCAATCTCCGCGCGTTACTCGGATCGAGTCGAGTTACGAACTATCGCTGACGATCCTAGCACATCCGGAAATGCCTTTTGTGAGCAAGCCAAGATATTGCTCCTCTACGAAAGCGAGGCACCGTCTGTTACTACCGTGCAAGCAGCAGCTATCTTGGGTCTGCGTATTATGTCCGATGGGAAAGAAGCGCTTGGCTGGTTATATTGTGGTCCGTAAACCCCCCGATGCCTCAACTTGGTGACGGTCCGAGGATATACAGGCACTCGCGCTAATGAGACTGGCAGGAAATGCAACAAGAATGGCTCATAACCTGGGACTGCACATGGACTGTTCCACCTGGGTAGCAACGGGTCTTATCTCCGAAGACGAGGCTGAGGTGAGGAAAGTAACGTGGTGGGGATGCTTTGTTGTTGATAAGTAAGTTGTTCGACAAGTTGTCTCGTATTCTCGTCGGGGAGGGAGTGTATGCAGGCTATTTGTGATCCGAGCAAGACTATTCGCCTGTGGCCTCGGCCGACCTAGCAGCATTCAGAGGTCCGGTGTGACTTGCCCAAAGCCAACGATAGATCGAGAAGAGTACAGCCCCTGGATGCCAAAAACGGACGGTCTGGAAGTGACGACTTCACTCGGAGCTCATTCACACATCGCTTCAACAGCTCATTTCGTGTCCGAGTGCATGGCCATTGCCTGCGAGGCCCTCGAATTGATGTAAGAGTCAAAGCATATCCTTGAGCAACTCTTTCTCTTGCGCCGTTATGGTGTGCTAATACGTATTCGATCCCAGATATGCTCCAAATAGTAGGCTCGCCGCCAAGGACATCGAGGGCATTGTCAGTAAAGCGGATGTTGACTTACGTGCGTACTACACCGCATTGCCTACATATCTACGCCTCCCTTCGTCGCCAAAGGTCTGTGCGCTTCCTCATATCTACTTGGCCCAGTATATACCGCCTCGTCTCTACTGCTCCCTACATGTGCTGACACACTTGGCCAAGCATCCAATATCATACACATCTCGTTCTTCTTCACAGACCCCTGATCCAGAAGAAACGGGGCAGAAGGCGAACAAATGATAGCTCGGCCACTGATAGTGCGGCCAGTCCCGGCGAGAGCCTATACCTCAATCAGCACATGGAAATATGCCGTCACTCTGCAGCTCAAATATCTAGGTTGATGCATGTCTATAAACAGCACTACACTCTGGTGAGTTGATTTGCGAATACACTGTCCTGAGCCCATCAAGTTCGAGGGATTGTCGTTGTCAAGTGCGTAATCTGATAAGAGCAGCGTCAAATACCCATTGCTGCCGTACACCTTTCGTTCGCGGCAGCAGTTATTCACCTCATCGACGCTCGTCCCACGAACCCGAACTGGGACCAAGCTGTGCGGCACCTCAAGACCTGCGTTGATGCGCTCAAGGACTTGCGGACACCCTGGTGCGCTTGGGCAGACCGGTCGTTGCGGGGTGTGCATTTGTTGGCCCTGGACTGGTATCAATGTGACGATGTGTCGCAACTTAAGAAGGACCGCCACAGTGGCGAGGATGATGCTTCTCATACACTATTAAGGGCTACCCGTGTACACATGCCCGAGGCAACGAGTCCAAATCAGACTGACGATGGCGGTTATTCAACTTCATGGGGTCACAGCAAGTCGAGACTCTATACTGTCGACGAAACCGAAGGTTACGCTGCACCATCAAATATTTCTGGGCAACCAGAACCTGAAAACTTCTGGGCTTCCTTATTTGAACATACGGATGCGGATCTGGATATGAATGGCATGGTCAGAGAATGGCTGTCTGACAGATGGTATGACTGGTCTTTAACAGGATTCGAGGCAGATGGAGGCGGTGGCAACCCAAATGAGCTCTAAGTTATATAAGTGAGGCAGTTGTAGCAATGTGGATTATTTGTATGAAGCATCTGTCTTGGACAGCAGACATGACCGGCTTTGGGAGTAATGATTCGGGCTGCTGCTTTTAAATACAGCTTCTATCAACCACTTCGATCAATGAGATCACCGACTTCGTTCAATTACTTCAAGAACAACTTCGGACTGGCATATTACTGGTTGTGAAAGCGGGCGTGGCGGCCAGCCGGCGAATTAGTCCCAATGTCGATGTCTTATCAACTTCATGTCCTTCGCTGTATAACCCTTGCCAAACCACAGTCTTCGCAGCCGCACTAACTATATATCGCCACTTTCATCCAGCAGGTCTCTGAACGGTTGCGCCAGACGTTCCAATGCCCATCCGAGTAGGCCTTGATCCCCACCAAAAGCCTAGAGTATGATTTCCTATCAAGGTGGGGGGCGGTGGGTCTTAATAAAGCATGAAAATCATCGACGAAAATGGAAGGACTACTCATCCAATCAATATCAGCAGTCTGCATAGAGCAAATTTGGTGAAGTACTAGTTCACTGAATTTCGGCCAAATTCTTGACGATGCCAAGTTGACATTTTTTTTTTTACTACTAGACTTTTTAAGTATTTATTTTTCTATTATCATCCGAAAGCCTGTTTTCAACCCCCCTATTTTACCTCACTGTCCATCCAAGGATGATAATAATACATCTGGTGTAATATTATCCGCTATAGAGTCATAACCCATCCCCCCCTGACGTAGAATTCGCAGTAGACATAACTCCACTCCCCTCTTTGCCTCTTGGCTCATTGCACTCAGCACGTAGGTAACATTCAGAACGTATTGGGTTTTTTCCGGTTCAAGAATCTCGCATAGATTGCTGTATAATCCGTTGACCGACCCTGCCCATGATTCTCGTCTTCCACCAAGAAAGACCTCGAGAGGCATCAACGCCTGCTCATGAGGCATTGACCCCTGCAGTATAACGCAGACGCCAACGAGGCAAGCTAGTCGTGTGAACTCCAGCTCGCTGCTCTGGCCGTTCAACTGCTCCCGACTGTTCTTTATAACAAGCAGTGCTTCTTGTGTGGAAGCAAGGCTAGCTAATCCTCTGGTATTGGCCACGAATGTGCCAATATCTTGAACAAAGGAGAGCAGCCATAGACTTCGGAGTCGATGGAGTCCTCCCATGGATGCAATACCGGGGTTGAGTGCAGAAGCTTCGGGCGGCGCGGATATGTCCCAAATCTGGTTGGAACTGTCAAACCAGGTCGGTTTTGCCATCAAACACACACTGGGATAGAAAAGTGAGATCATTTGATCGGGATAAGCAATGGGGGTCCGGTTCTTACAGGTAGACTGGTAGGCCCAGTCTCCAGTTCTCCTTCAAAGACTGCATGCCTCCTCTTGCTTCAATCAAACGTAGCAGCCCATCGTGGTGTATCTGCCACTCGTCCTCTGAACCCCAATATCTCTATTCTCGTCAGTGGCTTGCTTTTCCCTCTGCTCTCTTTCTCGGTCGTGTGGCGTGAAAGATTACCTCAAATGTCAATAGTCGCAGGACTGCCGCAATCAAGTCATCACTTCGTGACAGTGCAGCGTCACTCATCCATTGTGAGACTATATGCACAGCCTCGGCTTTGAATTTAAAGGCTTCCTCGTATGTAGAGAAACCATGCATTCGGGCAAGATGTGCTGCCGAGTGCGCCATGATAGCGTTGAAGGACGCAGCATTGGACATGTCCAAGGGTAGCCAGACGTCGCGCATCGGATTGAAGTTGGAGGCGGTGCTCTGGGTGAACATCATGGTAGCGTACGTACTTAACCCTGCATCGCTCGTATTACGAGATGCTTAAGGGAGGGAGGGGGGAAGGGGGTCATTCGGCGGCTCACAGTGATGCAGCAGTTTATGATGTTGTACCGTCAGCTTGACTGGGAACATGTCGAAGGGATCCAAGCAGCCGCAAGCCAAGGCACGGTTCATTCCAGCCAAGGCTTGAGCAGGTATCCCATCCAGTTGAATCGAGGGTGGCCCGCTCGTGCTGGAAGAGCTTGTCGTCCCGTCTTCCCGCGCCGGATACGCGTCTTTGGGTAGGATTTGCCGCGCCTGTTGCCGAGCACTCTCCGCCCTACGTTTTTGGTCGTCCTTGGCTTGTCGTCGTTGCTTCCAGTGTTCGCGCATGGCATGGCTACGGGCCTCGCCGGCATCGTTTGGGTTGCCAACGAAGGCAAAGGAGCTACCAGGCGGCGAGTTAGATGCCATGGCGTGCCTTATTACCTGCTGCAAGAGTTGACGCGGACCAGTGCGCATTAAAAAGGACGCCCAATGTTTAAGGCCCAGATGCGCAAAGGAGGGATTTTTAGCGCGAGACTTGTGCAGATACAATTCGTGTGTGCATAATACGGGGCCTTTATCTTATACCGTCTTAACCCCTGAAACCTCTTGCAGGGGTTAATGCAGCCTATATACGTATAAAGCGTTTTTTTCATATAAATTAATATAATCTTATATTTTCAATATATTAAGGCTGAATTTAAAGACCTTTATAATAATAATACCCGCCAGTTTATAGCTATAGTAATAGATAACCTCTAATAATCCCTCTAGCGATAATAGGAGATTAGCCTATTAGTAATAGTTACAGCTATAACTACTCTTCTTCCTTAATATCCTCTTTAAAGCCCGGGTTAACAGGGCCCTTAACTCGAGCTATAATACTAACCTGATATAGTTACTTAAGCGGGTTCTTCTAGTGTTATAAACAAAGGCCTCTATAACAGGTTATACGGTTATATATACCCTACTATCTAAAGGATAGGAGCAATAGGAGTATTATACTCCTATTACAGGATAAAGAAAGATTACTAGGAGCAGTATACTCCTTATACTCTATAATTAGTATATATATATATTTATTTCTTAGATAGAAATACTCCTTCAGATAGTTATTAATATAATTATCTATATATCTATTACTACTAGCTTTATAATACTTATATATTAATAGTAACTTATATTATATAGTCTAAGATAATCTAATTATACTACTCAGAATAATACTCTATTTAGTTTAATCCTAATCTATTCTAAATCCTATCTAATATAGTTATCTAACTATTATATATTAATAACTTTTATTTAGCTAATTATCTTATCTTAATTACTATATAATATTAAAAGATAAAATAGCCCTTATTAAACTACTAAATAATACCCTATAAGCCCTAATAGTATAAGAGATTATATAATAACTTATAGTCTAAATTAAATAACTTAAGAAGAAGGAAATAAAAGATAAAGAGAAGATAATATAATTAACCCCCCTAGGACCCTTTTCAGATAATACTAATAAACTAAAAGAATTTAAGATCTAACTTTAAGTATACTTTAAATTCTTTTTAACTAAGCTTATAATAAATAAGAATAAAGTTAGGTTTATAGGAATATATCTTAATAGTACTATAGGGTAATAGTTTCAGATTTACCTTAGGAACTAGTATAATAATAAAGCTATACTAAGCTTATAAGATTAGGAGATAGTTAATACTTTTACTAGTTATAAGAACTTCTAGATTTTACTTATTTTAATATTTAGTTAAATAGATAAAGAATAGTAAGCTATTAAGAATCTTAAGAATTTATACTAGATAGAATTAGTATTAGGATATACTACTAAGTTTAGGGAAATCTTAACTTAATTAGACTAGGATAATAGCTCTCTTAAAGCTATATTCTATAATAGATTTAAAGAAGAAGTTAAGAATTAACTTTTTAAAATAGATAAATCTGAAAACCTATCTGGATATATAGTAAATACTATCTGGATTAATAACTATCTATATAAGAGATAATAGTAGAAAGAAAGTAAGTATACTAGTTAGAACTATATTAAAAATAAACCTAATTAGAAAGTATAATAAACTCTATTACTATCTATAGAATCTAGAATATATATAGACCCTATAGAGCTAGAAGCTATAGAGAAATATAAGTATTATAATTATAATAAAATTAAATATATTTTACTATAATATCTAAAACCTAAGAAATAGAAGAATTAGAAACCTGCTAAAGAAGATAAAAAATAGTTAGAAGTAACTAGGAAAACTAAGACTAAAATACTAGAAATAATTAGAAAGATTACTTAGAAAGAAAACTATATAGTTACTATAGTTTCTATATTTTCTAAAAAATCTATATTAAACTTCTATAAAATATTAGAAACTAATAATAAAAAGAAGAAATAAATAGTATTAGAAGAAAACTAATAGTATATTATATATATTCTTTAAGAACTTAAGTAGAAGTTTAAAGAGAGAAAGAATATTATAAATATTAGATCTCTTACTAAGTATAAATATATATTCTACTATATTAATAGACTTATTAAATATATTCCTAAGAAATAGAACTAATATATATTTACTAGAGATAAGATTAAAGCTAAATATAATAAGCTCTATATTTATTATTAATAAAAAATATAAATATAGAACCTTAAGAAGATATAAGGAATAGTATTATATAGAAGAGATACTATAAATACTATCTAATACCCTAGTAATAGATATAAGAATCTAATATATATAAATACTAATAAAAAGTATAACTATAGATTAAAATCCTGGATAATATACTATAATATTTAATATACTATATATTAGTAAGAAAAAATAATAAATAATTTTTTCTTATTTCCTAATAGAAAAATATTCAGAAAGTATAGTACTATCTAAATATAATAGTTTATTTATTAATACTATAGAATAGAACTCTATACTATCTTTAAAGAAGATCTAAGGGAATATTCTAAAGAATATATAGAGGGAGAACTTCTAGTAGAGATATACTAAGAATAGAGATATAAAATTTATAAGAATAATAAGATTAGGCTATAGTATAACTACTAGTAGGTAGAAGAATAAGCTATATATAATTATAGTAGTTATATTAAGTTATACTATAACTAGAGCTATAGAAATTACTAAGAAATTAAATAAGAAGTACTAGTATTAGTATAGAATAGTAATAATAATATAAATATTACTAAATTATATCTTAAATAATAATAACTATAAAAAGAAAAAATATAAGAATAATACTTAAATAGTTAATCTTTATTTATAGATAGTAAAGAAAGTAGTAATAAGAAAGAATTAGAAATTATCTCTACTAATAAATAAGAATAGAATAGAATATATAATAAGTAAAATATACTATTACTAATAAACTAACTATAAGAATAAGTTAACTAGATAAAAAATAACCTAAACTATCTATAATAGGGCTATAGTATAGTATAATATTAATAATAGATTAAAGGACCCTAGGAGCTATAGAAGCAGGAAGCTCTATATATATTCTTATAGAAGTAGAAATTAAGAGGAACTAACTTATAGTATTTATTAACTATAGAGTATAGGAAAATTATATCTTACTAATAGTAATTAACTAACTCTACTTACTATAGAAAAAGAAGAAAGAAATCTATATAGTTATAAATATTAAAAGTTTAAAGTTTAAATATAATAATAAGATTATTAATTTAGAAACTAATTATCTTATAATTAAAATCTAAGAAAGAAAATTTAATATTATTTATAACTTAATACTACTAAGAATCTATAAAGTTATACTAGGGTTATTATAACTTTAAGATATAAACCTATTAATTAATTAGTATACTAGCTAGATAGAGTAGAAGGATACTCTTATATATTAATACTAGGATTAATAAAAATTAAAATTTTATTAGATATTAAAAAAATATATTTATTTCTTAATATCTAGAAGTACTATTATAAAAAACTATAATAGCTTATAATAATAAGTAAATATAGTAGTATTAGCCTTAATAGTACTATAATCTAGAAATATAAGAAATCTATTATAATAAGAACTAAAATAAATAATATAAATCTTAGATTAGATATAGAAATAAGAACTATCCTTAGATATAGATTTAGTACCTATTAATTAGAAATAACTAATAAAAGAATAATAATAAGAATATAAAGTTAAGTATAATTAATAGTAAAAAGAAACTAAAAAGCTATCTTTAAAACTATTTAGTATAGAAATTTAGGAATAAAGCTGAATAAGTAACTAATAAAAAGTATAATAGAATAGGGAAAAAGATATCTAATATAAATATAAATAAGCTAAATACCTAAAATAGGAAGAATATCTTAAAAATATTCTATAGAAATATAATTATTTTAAGAAGATACTATTTATAGAAGAACTTAAAATAGAGCTATT